GGAACTAGTTCTTGTAGACCAGGCTGGTCTCGAGCTTACAGAGATCCGCCTGCCTCTGCCTCCCAAGTGCTGGGATTAAAGGCGTGCGCCACCACCGCCTGGCTGTTCTGTAACTTTTAAAAGGAAAATACAAATGTAGAAAGACTCAGAAGAGCAAGAGGTTCCATATTGGCATCGGTCTCATCTTTAGAACAGATTGGGAAGGTGCTCTGATGTTTGTGAAAGCACCTTTGCTGCTCTGGATTGAACGAATGGTGTTTTTAATAATGCTGCTGCTGCTGCTGCTGCTGTGTGTGTGTGTGTGCAAGAGAGAGACAGGCAGACAGACAGAGAGAGAGACACACAGAGACTCAGACAGAGACAGAGGCCCAGAGAGACAGACAGATCCAGAGAGACAGACACAGAGAGACGTACAGAGAGACAGAGGTACAGAGAAACAGAGACACAGGCCCAGAGAGAGAGAGAGAGAGAGACAGAGAGAAACAGAGAGAGAGAGAGACAGAGAAGAGGCAGATGCTGGAGTCCATGCAGTGGGAGATTGCTGTGATATGCACTCAGGTGCAATGATCATGACAGTGTTCTTTTGAAGACTCCCAGTGCGGCTCTAGAAGTAGAGCCTGGGGGCAAGAGAGATGGCTCAGAAGGTGAAGGTGCTTATTGCCAGCCTGGTGAATGGGATTTAATTCTAGGACCCACATGGTGGGAGAACTCCTGCAAGTTGTCCTCTGACTTCCATATGTGCACCGAGGCACAAATGCTTCCTACTCCTCTCTCATAATACATAATAAATGCAGTAAAAATAAAAAAAAATTCAGAGCTAGTACTTTGTATTTATTAGCCCACTCCTCACAACATCTGTGAAATAGACAGGAAATCTGCAGTCCTTTATCTTTGGTGTCTCTGTGGTTAGGATTTTAGGTTAGAGGTTAGAATGTTTATGGTTTAGAGTGAATTATACAGTATAGCCAGCGGGATCATGACATTTCTGCAGTAAAGTAGCTGAGTATTTATGTCTAGTCTGTGTTCTAGTTAGCTCTCCACTTTTAATGAACTACTTGGGACCCTGTCCCAGTCATACCCCATCTCTTCTCATGTTCTTCATGTATTTTACATATTTTATTTTTGTTTTCTCCCCAGATGTATATCATGTTAAACATTCGAATTGTTCTAGTTGGACTAGAAATTTGGACAGATAGAAACCCAATCAATATAATTGGAGGTGCTGGTGATGTGTTGGGCAACTTCGTACAGTGGCGGGAAAAGTTTCTTATAACACGCCGGAGACATGACAGTGCACAGTTGGTTTTGTAAGTGGCTTTAAAAAATGCTGTGAATGAAATGATTAGAAAAATGACTTTTGTTGCAGTGGTATTATGTTCTCTTGCCACTCATTTGTGTTTGGCTCATCCTTGTCTTTACCCCATGTCTTTCTTCATTCCTCCCCTTGTTACAGCATATTTTACAGTTATTATTATTTTACGTGAACAATTATATGGAAAGACAAAATGATTTCTTGCTGAAAACATTTTCACATAATCAGCTTAAAAATCATCTCAGTTTAGACTCTGATTTTCCTAATTCATACTTGCCTGGTTTTTTTTCTTCTAGTATTGTATAACTGTCTTTGACTGTTTGACTAGGTATAAAATTCTGGGCATGCAAGTTTTTCCCCTTTACAGATTTGGAGGCAATCCCTTGTAAATGTATTTATTATGTTGCTGTCTCTCCTCATTAACATTTGTTAAATGAATAAATATAATACAGTTTTAGAAATATTTTTAACCTGAAAGATAGCTACCACCAAGGAAAAATCCAAAACTTGGCTTGGTATGTAAAAGCATCATCATTTGTATGAAAAAATTTAAAGGATTATATTTGTAATATTAACCTCATACTTTCAAAGTAAACCGTTATTTATCTTTGTCATTTTCCTTCAATTTTCTATAGGTTTTGTCAGTGTGGTTAAGATTACCTATAGAAACAGGACTAATATGTATCTTTTTCCTCCAAGTACATTTTATAACTTTACATTTTCATTTAGGAAGAAAGGCTTTGGTGGGACTGCAGGAATGGCATTTGTAGGAACAGTATGTTCAAGGAGCCACGCCGGTGGGATTAATGTGGTATGTTCTTCTTTAATTAAGTACAATTCTGGATATAGGCATTAGGACAGTCTCCAGCATTTGTTGACTCTGTTCTTTTCCCCCAGATATTTATTGCAATAGTTTGGATGTTAGGAAGGACACAGTAGGAGTAGCATGTGTGTTCTTTCCCTAGAGACTAGGTCAAGTTTTTAATATTTGTTATGTGTTACTATCCTAGTTTGCTTTTATGTTGCTATGATAAACACCATGACCAAAAGCAACACAGAGAAGGAAAGGGTTTATTTGACTTGTACTTCAGGTCATAGTCTGTCACTTTGGGAATGCAGGCCAAGAACTCAGAGCAGGATCTTGAAGCAGAAACTACACAGGAATAATGTGTACTGGCTCTCTCTGGTCCATGCTCAGACTTGTTATACAGCCCAGGACCATCTGCTGAGGGGATGGAACTACTCACGGTGGTTGGACCCTCATAGATGCATTGAGAAAGATGTCTTATAGACATGTGTGATCCAGGCAGTTCTTCAATTGTAAAGTCCCTCTTCCCAGGTGTGTCAAAATGACAACAAAAATTTACCAGGATGTTATTTTTTTATGAATGAGGAAACGGACTCCATTTCAAAGAAATCAGCATGTTTTCTCATAAACTTGAGGGAATGATCTACTAATGCTTGGTTATCAGCACATGAGTCACTCCAGTTTCTTCTTATCAGAGTGAGCACATAAAGGCTGGTACTGGACACTTGGGTTGGCATAAAGTCAGCAGTATAGTAGATACATTGCCTTTTGAAAAAAAAGCCAAAAGTGTGACAAAGAAGCCATTTACTAATTGCACCTTTCTGTGTTTGCACAGTTTGGGCAAATCACGGTGGAGACGTTTGCATCCATTGTTGCTCACGAGTTGGGTCATAACCTTGGAATGAATCATGATGATGGGAGAGAGTGTTTCTGTGGATCCAAGAGCTGTATCATGAATTCTGGGGCATCGTGAGTAACTGAGTCTCTTCTTTCTCTTAGTGTGATTGTGAAGATAGTGTTTTTTCTCCCTAATTTTTATTGTGTGTGTCTGTGTGAGAATATATTACATGTGTGTTGGTGCCTCAGAAGGCCAGAAGAGGGCATCAGATTCCCTGGAGCTGGAGTTACAGGCAGCTGTGAGCTGCTTAATGTGGTTGTCCACGAGGTTGAGGACAGGGATTTAGGAAAATGAGAAGTGAATTACAAGCCCTGAGATAAGAGACTCAAGGGGAACGACACTCAGAGGTGAGGAAGAAGTGTCAGGCTGTAGTGCTGTCCTGGAATTCAGAGGCTGAGGAGTGGACTTTCTTCAAATGTTTGAAAGGCCTTGAAAAGTTGGAGGAAGCCTTTCCCCACAAAGAGTTGGCATGTAGTGGGCAAAGGCAAACTTTCAGGCTGGTAATAGGCTAATTAACAACAGAGTTTTTGAAAGTACTGTGCGACTTTTGGGGGCGATACGATCCAACATGCTTCTCTCAGGTAGGACACCATCGACAGACTGAATAAGTGATGTATCCAAGTCTACGTTACTGAATCATTGAGTTTTTTGGGGTTACTTTCAGATGCATGGGTGACTCAGGCAGGTATATTATAAAAAGTCTACCCCAGCTGCATCCCTAAAACTGTCTGCACAACTTTCAAGTTCTCAACTGTGGAGTCTCCTCTCCTCACCAGTGAGTGTTACTGCTCATACAGCCTTGGAGGTCGGGGCCTTGTGACTCTGGAAACTGATGAACTTCCTCAGCCTTGGAGAATTCATTTATTTCTTTAGTGTTAGGAGCATCCCTTATCCCCCCAGGAGGGAATATTTCATTGGGAGGAAAGGGCTTGACAGCTGACATCAGTAAGTATCACCAGGAATAAACAGAAGAGAGTAAGGCTTAGGAGCTCTGAGGATGGGATGGTGGTGAAACACAGAGCAGCCTCATTCTCTTATCACATTATGGCAAAAGTAAATTAACAGCAAAACATTTAAGTGAGCTTGTTGTGGGATAATCTTTTTGTATACTGTGAAGATGTGTCTCTGCCTAAGATGCCTTCTGATTGTTTTAATAAAGAGCTGAATGACCAATAGCTAGGCAGGAGAGAATAGGCAGAGAGAGGAAGAATCTGGGGTGGGCAGGATTAAGCCAGCCAGACTTGGAGGGAGCCGACCTTACAGAGTGGAGGAGAGATAAAGAGCCACATGGCAGAATATAAATGAATAGGAACCAGGTTAATTTAAGTTCTAAGAGCTGGTTGGGAACAAGCCTAAGCTATGGCCAAGCTTTCATAATCAATAATAAGTTTCTTTGTCATTATTTGGGGCCTGGTGGTCCAAAGGAAGTCTGACAAGAAAAACCTGCTAAATGAGCTGGTAAATACACCAAGTAATTCTTTTGCTAGAGACTGAGAGTATAATTAAAATATCTTGAAGAAAATAGTGTTATGAATATTATAATTCATACTGACTGAATATTGAATCTTAAATATGAATAAAAATACAGTTTCAAGTATAAGATGTCTAAATTTTGCCCCAGAGAAGACTTAGAATGGAATGTCAGCATCTTAGGGGTGCAGTTGATGAGCAGGCAGTCATGGCTGCTTCTTAGGGGTGCAGTTGATGAGCAGGCTGCTGTAGAAGAGGCTGCTCTTAGAGCAGTAAGACCGTTGTTGAAGAACAAGCCATATGAGGTGATCTCACAGAGAGGGACCCAAGGGTGACAATCAGCTTTATTCTCCTCATGACTTCTCTTTGCCACTCTTTTTAGCCACACTCAGCTGAAGGTAGTTGGTATAGGTCAGCTTTAGGCATGCCCAATAGAGAAGACTGTGGTTAGGATTTGGGAGAGGGAAACGGAATACCCAGCCCAGAGGATACCCATTTCAGTACTATTACAAGTTGAGCATCCCTAATGTGGAGTCCAGAATGAGCTGAATGTCGTATCCTCTTAAAAGTACTGAGGATCAAACTCAGGACCCAGCACCTGTTAGGCAAATGTTCTGTCACTGCTGGACTCTCAGCCCTTGCCTCTTGTGGTACAAAATCAGTTGAACTTGTAGCTCAGGCTGGTCTTAGACTAGCTGTTCCCCTGGTTCTGCCTTCCTAGTGCTGGGACTGTAAACAAATGCTGTATGCATGGCTAAAACTTTTTCTTTTTAAGCACCCCCTCCCAACACAGTCCTCTCCCAGCTTCGTGTCATCATCCGTCTCTTCCTCCTCTTAAAAAAAAAGACATGGAATCCAATTAGTGCTGCCTGTTTGTGCATGGATATGGGGCCATGTGGTGGAGCATGGGCAACCTGCCAGTTGCCACACCCCAAAAGAAAATGACCACCCCTCCCCCAGCAGCAAGTGCTTTCCAGCATTGTAAAAGCCTGCTGCATGCTAATATTAATTATAAACTGTTTGGCTGATGGCTCAGGCTTCTTATAGGCTACCTCGCTTTTAATTCCTAAATCATTTCTATTAATCTGTCTATCTCCACATGGTCTTGGCTTACCGGTGATGTCTGGGCCTCTGACTTCCTTGGAAGCTACATAACATCTCTCGACTCATTCTCTGAGTTCCTCTTCCCAAGCATTCTCCTAGTCTGGTAGCCCTGCCTAAACCTCCTGCCTGGCTATATCCTGCCTGTCCATTGGCCAAAACAGCTTTATTCATCAACTAATAAGAGAAATATTCACAGCATACAGTAGGACATCTGTCATCATGTAGGGTTTGATGTACTTTTTCCTGTTCACTTGGCGTGTCTATTGTTGTTGTCTTTATTCAGCTCATATTTGGGCCATCATATTGGTAAGACTTTATGAGTGTAGCTTGGTGCAGGCTTTTGAAACCCCAAAGCTCACTCCCCAGTGACACACCTCCTCCAACAAGGCCACACCCCCTAATCCTTCCCAAACAGTTCCACTCTCAGGCCCATTCACTTTCAAACCACTGCAGAAGGTAATAGTTAAGTAGAAAGAAGAGAGGATAAGAGAAAAAGTGGTAAAAGTGAAAGAGAAAGTATGTGGTATGTGCATGAGAGGAATATAGAGTGCCCAGTAGTTGGCAAACCCAAACAACCTAAGCAATGGAGTTGTGGGATATGTGTGGGAGAGCAATGATTAAATCCTAAGAAACAAACAAATGAAAAATAACAAATTAGGAAAAGTATAATAAACATTTATTAGATTTAAAAGTATCCCACCAGTCAGGCCTGTAGGGTCAGGTTTGGAGCAGTTGCCCTTTGGAGTGAGTTCTTGAAGCAGTTGTGCTGAGCTGAATGGTGTAATTCCCGGTTCCTTCCTTGGCACACTGTCAGACTTGACTTAGTGCTGGAGGGAGGATGAGGATTTCCATGGCCCCTGCCTGCTTTCCCACAGAGATATCTACCATAGCAAGTTTGCCTCCAATCTTGTCTGTGTCAGGAAAAGTGTTTCACTGATGAGCCCCTCCAATCCACCCTTCAGATTGTAGTGATTTGTGGTAATTACTGGCCTATGAGTATTACTCCTAAGCTCTGCTTCTGGTTTCCAGAAAGTGTGAAGTGTTCTTTTTTCCTGTAGTTGCTTTTCACAAAGAATGGCTGAGATTAGGTGTTGGAGGTATATATCTTGAATACTTAAGAGACTGAGGTAGGAGGATGGCCAGTTTGAAGCTAGCCTGAGCTACAATGTGAGACCCATTTCAAAAAAAGAAATGAAGGTGAGAGGTGGTTTGTTAAGTCTGCCCCACCCCCTCACTGGTAGTCAGTCAGTGCTTTCCCTTTCTCGTGCCCTTTTAGTCTCCTCCCTGGATTCTCTAGCCGTAGGCCATTGAAAGGAGGATGGTAACGGTGACAACACATTCTGTTCACTTCTGGGTTACTCACAGAAATAAGTAGCAATGTAAGAAATGAGTTATGACATGTGATATTTTTGGTCATATCCTGGCAGATCATTTCCTTCGTTGACAGTTTCATTTTGAAGTAACTTTTCAGAACTCACTGAGTGAATAGTGGGGGGAGATGTTTTCAGTCATAATTCTTGTATCATCTAGAGTGATAGGCAGAGGGTAGGGTACTGTCCTCTCTGCTGTGTGCCATCCTTTGATGGTTGGTGGAGGATTATCTTTCCTGTTGCCTCAGTCTTTTTATGGCATTTACTGAGGCCAATGTTAGGTCATGTTTCTAAAATCCCAGCTCTTACCTGCTATAAATAGCCACACATGCTTAGGATTTTAAGATTTTCAGTACTATAGTAACTTCATTGTAGTTGAAACTGATTTTTTCTTGTACCTTGCTCTAGGCTTGCATTTTCAAACATTATTTACAAGAAAATGGTGCTCACCTGCTGAATAAGAAGCCTCTTCACATAGCCTTTGTGCAGATTATAATTAGGGGCTGGTGGGTAGGATAAACATACACTGGTATAGCTGCTATGGTCGTCTGATGAGTCCATTCTTACAGACAACATTATCACATGGACTGTGTGGCAGGCACGATCAATGAGAGAATGTAAACAATTACAAACCTGTTTTACTTGATGTCCAATCATTTCCCCTGTCGTCATCCCCACAGACTATGATCTGCCCACAGATTTCCCACATTCGTGACTGCTAACTTTCCTCTGTCACTCAGCCTTGACTTCTCATATTCTTACATGCTGTCCTTGAAATAATCTACCACTTTCCCCAATTCCAAGGATGTCATTCTGATTCGTCATCGTCTGTGGAATGGATTCTGGGAGGCCACTCTCCCAGTCTTCCTATTTAACACAGTGCCAGTGTCAATCCTACTGACATGAGTCAAAGCTTGTCCTTTGGTCTCTTGCCCACTCACAGTGACCACATTTCACTTACAGCGAGAAGCCATGTTTTCACTGTGGTCTCCTCCCTTTGCTCACAGTCTCTCTTATATTATTCCTAGAACATGCCGCAGCCTCTGCCTTAGGGTTTGTACATGTTATTCTTTCGATCTGTGATATCCCTTTCCCAGATTTCCAGTTTTGATTGAAGTGTCATGATGTATGGACAACCATTGTGGACTGACTGTTCTTTTGAAACTATAAGCACTCCAGCCTTCCCACAATTCATTGCCTCCTTTTCTCCACAGTATTGTCATTCCAGGTAAATTACCCACCAAGGTTTGCCGTCTGCTCCACTCACTAGAGTGTGACCTTCACAGAAGGGTTTCTGCCATGTCCATTGTTTTATTCCTTGAACTGAGTAGAATAGCTTATCCAAGCAAACATCAAATAAGTATTTGTTGGGTACACAATGTTTGATATGACACCAAGGGGTTCCCATAAGAGCCTCAAAAATAGGAAAAAAATACAAAATGGGTTTATAAGGTCACAGACCTTAAAAAAAAAATTGATTGTAGTTTTTCTCGTTTCTTTTTTTTCCTGCCATTCTGCTTAAGCCTTTCAATGTCTCACATCCAGACTGTGTATAATAGTTAACAGTATTGGAATGTTCTAGGCACAGGAGCAGGCTCATTGCTTCCTTGTTAGCAAACAAAAGTGCTGACAGGAAATTTGGGGCAAAAAGTGTCATAAAAGGATTTGTGGATTAGAGTTCTTCCTATTTCCAAAAGCCCCAGTCATGGACAGACCCTACTCCTGCTGCTGCTCGTGCATCTTGCTCTGGTGATGGTAAAGGATTGATTATATATGTGTGTGTATACATGTCTGTCATGCGTACACTATGTATTATCAGCTATAGATATGTGTGCATTGTATACATGGTATACATTGTATATACTGTATGGTATACATGGTATATATGATACATGGTATGTCCAAGCATATTGTATATACTATATGGCATATGCATGTATATAATAGATAATACGTGTGTTATATACATTATATATTGCACTGTATACAGACATGCATGTTACATGCCTTATTATGCTATAGGCATATTACATATGTCACTTTTACTGTTTATATTTAAAATCTCTAACATGGCTGGGTGAGGTTGACATATGACTTTAATTCAGCACTTAGGAGGCAGAAGCAGGTAGATCTCTGTAAGTTTGAGGCCAACCAGGGCTATACAGTAAGACTCTGTATTTAAAGAAAAAAAGTAAAATCTATTTTACTCCGAAGTCCAGGCTAACTTAAATTCTCTGTTCTTGATCAATTTCCTGAGTTCTGGGATGAAGATACCCACTATATATAGGTGGTGAAATGGTTACTATTGTCAGGCAGATTAACATACCCATTGTCCTGCATAGTTAACCAGATTTCCTTTTGTGGCAGAAGAACCTAAAACGTCCTACTGTCACAAAATTCCCATATATTCTATAGCAGTAATGGCAGCACTCATGTTGTACATGGTTTTTATACATGCCTGTCCTGCCTATCTCTTGACATGTACCCTTTGCCTCCATCTCCCCATTTGCTCCCATCCAACTCTTATTTTCTGTTTCTTCTTTTTTTTTCCTTTTACAATTTCACATATGATTGATATCATGTGATATTTTTCTTTTTTGTGTGTCTGGCTTATTTTGCTTAGCACGGAACCCTTTAGGTTCATTCATGTTGTGGCCAATCATGTGGGTCTCCTTTCTGAGGCTGAATAATATTACATATGCACATACATGTGTATATATATATGCACAAACACACATAACAGTATAAGTACACACATGTGTAATGTAATATATGCATAAGTACTGTAGTATATTTACCCATTTGTTTGCTGATGACCACTTAAGTTGTTTCCAGGTCTTAGCTTCAGTGACTAATGCTAAACAGGAGAATACAAGTGTCTATATGATAGAGATTCTCTTGGGTTTGTAGCACAGGACAGGTTTCTAGGTCATTTCACATCTCTTATTACTTTCCTTAGGAATATGCTGTTTTCTGCCTTTTTGTTTTGTTTCCTCTTTCACAGCCTTGCCTGGACTTCTCTTTAGGGTATATAATAGCTACCGTGTTCTAACAGGCATAAGGCATACTCTGTGGTTCTGGTTTGCAAACCTTGGTGATTAGTGACACTGAACACCTCTTCATATAACTCGTGGGCATTTATTGTCTCTATCTGAAAATGTGTATTGAAGACCATTTCTCACTTTTAAGTTGAGATGTTTTTCTACTATTGGGTTTTCCTTATACATTTAAGTATTAACCCTTTTTCAGATAATTGTTTGCAGATATTTTCTGTGATAGAGCTTTTTACATACACCAAAGAATAAAATTGGATCCTTACCCTTTTTATGCATGAAGTCAAAATGAATAAAAGACCTAGAACATAAAACATAAAACCATAGACAGAAACATGGGGAAAACTCATTGATATTGTTCTTAGCAATGGTATCATAACCAAAGTTTAGGTTACCAGATAGAGAGATTGGTAAGTAGGTAGGTAGACAACTATCTCAGGTAAAAATTTTGACAAAATGTGTGTTTCAATGATTTGTGGCATATAGATATATTTCCTACAAATTTCAAAAGTGAAAATAATCATCAGTACTACCTGGTGACATTGACTGTGTGGATTAAATGACTAAAGATGTTCTCAGATGTTGCAGTTTTCTCCGATGTTCCTCAAGTGTTTCTCATACAGTCTCACACAGGGCAACAGAATGTGGTTGGTTTGAATGCATTAATAATAAACTCAGAGTCACCAGGACACTGGTCAGTGTCCCAGTAGGAACAGAAGTCAAAGCACTTCTCCTTGATGTCACTTTACCAAGAGTGAGCCCAGATTTGAATTATCTAATTCACTGTGTGTCATCCTTATCTGTCTGTTGTATGAATCTATATCTGTCTGCTTGTGTGTGTGTGCCTATCCGTCAGTTTGTCCCTAACAAAGGGCTTTCTTTGCTCTACTTACTGAAAACATTAGAAAGCATCACATGGAGAAGTAATACACACAGGATACTTCATAGAAACCTAACAGAGTTTTACAAGGGGTAAAATTGCTGACTACGGCTGACTCCAACTGACTTAGATAACAAATAGCATTAAAACCTCACTGTTTATTGAGCAGTATCTGTATGTTCCATTCAGTGTTTATGGTGGATATTCATTTGTAAGATTGCTTTTAGCCTATTTGCTGTTGCCAGCAAATGATTATCATAACACATATGCACTGCTCTGGGTCAGGCACATGGAAGAGTACATGTTTTAAGGTTGTAGCTTAGGCTGTAAAAGTTGATTACATGGAAAAATACAAGGCAAGCAAGGCTGGTTGTTACATTGTTCTCTTACAGGCAGGTTAAACAAACAGGCTGAGTGCACAGTAGGACAGCAGCCTTAAATCTTAAGTGACTCAAGGTGTTGTTAACTCTGGTTGTGAGGTCCAACAAAATCTCCAGTTTCTTATAATGTAAGAGATATTTTTATCATAATGTATTGCCACAATTGGGTAAGCCAGTAACCAAGAGAAGGGAAAAAAAAAGCGAGCTCTAGCATATTAAAGTTGAATTTGTATAACTCTCATGTGTGTAGCCCATCTAACCTTTAGAGTGACAGTCATTCACTGGAGGAATATCGTAAAAGACATTTATGGCTCAAACTGAAAATTTGTCATTAGAGCAGCTGACTGTACAGTGCAAGGAGCCTCTAGGTGATTAATTTTTTATCCCTGTGATAAAGTACCATGATCAAGGCAACTTACATAAGAAAGAGTTTATTTGAGGCTTACAGTTTCAGAGGGCTGGGGTCCATTGCTATCATGTTGGGGAGCACGTCCCCAAGCAGGAAGGTAGACATGGCAATGGAGCAGTTAGCTGAGAACTTACATCATGATCTATAACCATGAGGCATACAGAGAGACAGAAATAGAGAGACAGAGAGAGACACACACACAGAAAGAGACAGAGACAAAGAGAGACTGAGACAAATATTCAAATATCTGAGGCTGTGGGGGATGGCATTTTCATTGTAACTACCACGGTGACAATGTAGCAAATGTGCTGGAATCGTCCATTTGTGTGTTTTTCTCACGACTCCCAGAGTGTGAGTTGGGGAGGGAAACCTCAGGCATCACACCTCAGGTAACATATTGGGACACACACAGGTAGCTTCCAGTGTTTGAAATGTAACGTTTTAGAAAAATAAAGCTCAATTCTGAATGAGACTAGGTTAAGTTTAAAAGTCTGTAGACTGAAAGAATTCTGATTTTTGTTTCAATTTTTTTTTCTTTTTTTCAACACAGGGTTTCTCTGTGTAGCTTTGGAGGCTGGCCTCGAACTCACAGAGATCCGTCTGCCTCTGCCTCCTGAGTGCTGGGATTAAAGGCGTGCGCCACCAACGTCCCGCTCTTGTTTCAATGTTTTAACAAGTGATATGCTTAGAAGATATTTTCACGGAGGCCAGAATAGTGTAATGGTGAACTATGTAGTAATTAAAGTGACTCCTGTATTTATTAGGGACAGAGGGCCTCCCTTTTGCCTACTTTTGTTTATCCTCTGCTTTTTACAGTATTATTAGTTAAAGATATGACTAAGAGCTTTCAAGATGAGCAATGACAATGATGTGAGATCTTTTCCTTTATGTTTATTGTAGAGGGTCCAGAAACTTCAGCAGTTGCAGTGCGGAGGACTTTGAGAAGTTAACTTTAAATAAGGGAGGAAGCTGCCTTCTCAATGTCCCGAAGCCTGATGAAGCTTACAGTGCGCCCTTCTGTGGTAACAAGCTGGTGGACCCTGGGGAAGAGTGTGACTGCGGCACACCCAAGGTCAGTGAGTCCTCTGGCTTTCCTTTGTGAAACTACCGTGAGGGTTGCCGAACTGAAGCCCTTGGTTTTGGGCGCCTCTGGCAGAGGAGTGACTGTGGGTGTTAGTTAAAGTGAAGGACGCTGTCGTGTTATGTGGCTGTGACTGTTCAGCTCCTGGGGATCTACCTCACGACTTACTTCAGGCAAGCATGGTGGTACCATTCTTTTTAAACATTACCTATCTGTCTTTTATATTTATTGTAGCTGTTGGATTATTGGTTACTGGCATTACATAACCAGTTAGTTCTTTACATGTTCACCATTCTGGTCATGCCATTGAAGAAGTGTTTGTTCAGCTGAACTCACGTATTAAGTGGATTGCAGCTGATTCATCCTCCAGTGTCCATCATTATCACAATTCTTCCTCCTCAAACACCAGTGTCCTTTGGTTCATCTTCCCTTTCTCTGTGGATCCTTGGCTCTGTGGTCCTTAGCTTTGTCCCTCCCACCCCCTTCATTGTTACTGCTCTCTAGCCACATTCGTCTCAGGACACCCACTTAACACTTTCTGGGTGGACTGCTGTTAGATTTGGAACGCATTTGTTCAGATGTAAGGCCTACTGTGTTATTCTCAGTTGTTTTCCTTGCCTGGCCATACTTGGTCTGGAAAGCCTTCTCGTATCCTAAGAAAACATTGTTTTCTAGTCTTGGTGATTGATGCAGTCCATGACTTCTCTTAAGCCCTTTGGATTCTTCTGACCAATAACTCCAGGGGCGATTTCTCATGCCTGGAATTGGGGCTCTGTTAGGTAGCTCTTGGGGGGACATTATCACCCAGGAGTTGTCCCTTCATTTAAGCTATATGTCTGTATATGCACACACCTAAATATTATATATAATTTTAGATAAACCAATAGAAATATATTCCCTGAGTCTTTCCCAAACATCCTTAGTGTTCTGTATCTCTTCCTCCCCCCTCCTTCTGTATTGCCCTTCTCCATGCTCCCACCCCATCTCCTTAGGTTCTACTGTGCATGTTCCCAGAGTCTAAGGCTATTGAGCAGGCTTCTGTGTACTTACCTGCCATCTGTGTGTCTTGTGGTATATGCTTAACTCTTTACTTTATTTGAAAAATTGTGTTATTTGCTACTGAGTTCTAGTTTATTTATCTTCTATTAGACATTTGATTTGTAAATGGTCCTATTTATTTATTTATTGACTGGATGTGAGATTTATTACTGAACATGATTTGGTAGGGGACAAGAGAGCACTGTGGAAGCCCTCAGGAATGCAGGGTTCACCTCTTGTCCAGGGGACTGCGATTAGGGATAAATTTGATCCCATAGCCATCAGGAATGAACTGCTTCTCTGCAACCATGTCTTTAAATTTATCTGCATTAAAGTTGGTGAAGCCTATTTCTTTTTTTTTTAAATTTATTTATTAGTTCTAGTTAGGGAACAAGCTTGTTTCACATGTAAGTCCCTTCTCTCTTCTCCCTCTCCCTCCCCTTACCCCATCCCTCCTCCCTGACCCCCAGCCTACCCCCCACCCCATCTACCCACCACTCCCCAGGCAGGGTAGGGCCCTCAATGGGGCCTCTGAAAAGTCCACCAAATCTTCCTGTGCTGGTCCTGGGCCCTTCCCCATGTGTCCAGGGCCAGAGTGTAACCCTTCACGTGGGATGGTGAAGCCCATTTCTTTGAGATGTGGATCTTCTGGCAGCCAGGGAACTTGAATCAGTCATGAATCCTTATTCTGCATCTTGTTGCAGATGGGCATGATGACCTGGCCACTGTGACTCTGGCCACTGTGCCCTGGGGCTTTCCAAAGGCACCATGCATACCAGTCTGGAACCTAGTCTGGGGTCAGCATTGAGATCAGAGACTTGAGTAGTTGTCAGAAAATAGTCTCCAGGGTCCCTTAGGGCAGCCATATAGGCAACAGGCTGCATACACTACCAAGGAGGCTGCTGTTTGCAACCATTGCACTCCAGGCTCCCATGGGGAAAGGGTCCTGGTCAGCTTAATTAGCTGCAAATGTAAATTGATTTGATCAGTATATATTGACTATATGAAATATTGTACTGCCTCATAGGTATGTAAAAATATTACATGTTAATTAAAAGGAAGAGTTAATTTAGAACATTATTATGAAATAATTGTAGGCAGACAAGAGGTTGCAGAACAGTATATAGAACTCCATGTAGTCCTCTGCTAACCTCCCCCAGTGGCGACAGCTTACAAGGCTATAGCACACTTACAGGGTGTTAAAATTTCTATATTCACATAGGTGTCTCTGGGTGGGAGGTTGGAGGTGAAATGTAACTGTGGTGGCCCAAAGCCTGGTGACAGGAGCTGAGAATAATGCTACTCAGTACAGTGTGTGTGCTTAGCATGTACAGGGCACTGAGGCCAGTCCTCACCTTCTACCCACAATAAAGGAGTAGTTTGTCCACCCAGAGAAAAGAGCCATCCCATGAGTTGTGGGACCCTGAACAGGAAGAGAAGGGTATCCATGGATATTTACTTCTCTGTGGTCCTTCAGACTACACATCAAAGCATAATGTGGGGTCTCTGAGGAAATGATTAGGATCAGCACTGTACGGGGGAGCCCTGATTCACTAGGACCATGTTTTTAGAAGAAGCAGTAGCCATTTCCCTAGCTTTCTCTCTGGTGCAAGCACTGAAGATTGGCCATATTGTGTGTGTCAGCCAGCAAGGGAGGGATCCCCGAAGCTCTCTGTGGGAGCCTTCTTGCATTTCCAGCTTTCAGAATTGTGAGAAAACAAATTTCCATTTTTCAAGTCCCCCAGTGTCTGGTATTTTCTTATGGAATTACCAGGGGTCTTTTGAAATATCTTGAGACTTGAATACTTGCAGCTAAAGAGGTTGATGTACCTTGAAGCACAGCTGGGGGAGAGAAATGGCTCTGGCTGGGTTAGAATGAAGTTACAGACAGGAAAAGACTTTACTAATGGCTCGGCTCCTTATTGACTGGTGGTCATTTTCTGCTTGCAGGAGTGTGAGATGGACCCATGCTGTGAAGGAAGCACTTGTAAGCTCAAGTCATTTGCTGAATGTGCATATGGCGACTGTTGTAAAGATTGCCAGGCAAGGAATTCTCTCTATCAGTAACAAATCAGAGAAGGAAAATTGATATATGGAAATGCATATCCTGAGATCTCTCTTTTTGTTATATGGTCATTTTATATTCCATCTCACTTCTGTGCATTTTCTTGTTCTGTAAGGGCCCATTGAGTTAGTTTGTGGGTTTGGAGTACTGGGGATTAAACTCTACCGATGAGTTATGTCCCCATCTTTTATTTTCTTCTTAAAGTAACATATATCTGTAGGGAAAATTCAAAACTACCGAAGTATAGACTGTGGAAAATTAAGGGTTGGGGAGTTAACTAATAAAGAGGATCTGAATTTGATCCCCAGAACCCTTTAGAAACAAAACCCCAGACCAAACACTGTGGTGGCGTGCCTCGTGACCCCATGGTCCAGCAAGGAACGTGGAGCTCTTCCTAGACTGAGTGGCTGCAGTAGTTTCCTGTCCTCACCTCCCACACCCAGCCATGCTGCCACATCAGCAAGCGCTTCACCCACTCCCTAGCCTCAGACTCATTGCTTCATGCAATGCAGTGCTTTGAGGGAGCATTGCCATTGTCATCCTAGTTAGTGCAGTGCTTCTGCAGCGTTCCTTGTGTTTTTATTTAATTTGCATTTCTTTTGATTACCTGTGAGGGTTTTTTTTTTTCATCTTATAGTATTTATGAATTGCCTTTTATGGGCTTTGTTCACTTTTGTGTTGAGCAGTTTAATCCTCATTGTTGGAACCTTGTACATACACCATGGTTTTAAATTTGATGAATTTGTGGAGGTTGTCTTGATATTTCTGTTTAATTTTAATCTCATTGCTGTAGTTCCTTCCAGGAGGCTCTATGTGCAGAGGAAAAACCAATGAGTGTGATGTCCCCGAGTACTGCAATGGCTCCTCTCAGTTCTGTCCACCAGATGTCTTCATTCAGAATGGATATCCTTGCCAGAATAACAAAGCCTACTGTTACAATGGCATGTGCCAGTATTATGACGCACAGTGTCAGGTCATCTTTGGTTCAAGTAAGAAACTTATAATTGATTGGTTTGCTTTTATCATCTGTTTGCATAGGCTTTTTTTACTGATGAGTTTCTTGGATCTTCATCCTTCTTCCTCCAGTGGTTGCCAAGCTTAGGAATTTCATATGTCTAATTTGCTGAATAAGTCGATGATGCTGTGTGCTCTTCTCTCTCTTTCAACTTTGAATAAGCACACAGTATATATTTACCCCCCCACACATATTTTTTTGGGAGGGTGGGTAATGAGAACCATAGCCAGAACCTGACACATGCTAGGCAAGCACTATTGCCTAGCTTTGCTATGTCCTCAGCCTCCAGTTTTCTAGTTTTAATAGCATAGACTCTATGGGTCTGACATTTGCATTCATCATTTAAAATGTCCTTGTGATCCATCTATACTGATGCATTTATGTCACAGTATATTAGTGTATTCTGTGTTAGTTAAGTGAACCTTGATTTAGTTTCTCATCTCTGTGTGTATTGTGTTTTTGTGTATGGGTTTACATGTGTGTGAACATGGATGCAGGCTAGCTGGCCCTTGAGCTTTTGAGGATTCTTCTGTCTTCACCTCCTACTTCCCCACAGGAGCACTAGAGTTGCAGATGTGCACGACTTCATGTGGGTTCTGGGGTTGTGAACTTAGGTCCTAACACTTGCATGAAAAAGCACCGCACTCACTAAGCCGCCTTCCCAGCTCCTTGTTTTCAGTTTGTATATTGATGGGTATCATGCTCATTCTCTCTCCCTTTCCTCCCCTGTCTCCCTCTGTCCCTCCTTGTCTGCCTCCTTGCCTCTAGATCTCTCTCTCCTTTGAGTGAGTTTGCTAAATACTTACCATTAGTTGAATTGCAAATATTTAACCGATATTCTTATATTGTCTTGTGGTCACAGGCATCAACTAACTGTTCTACTGTTGTCAATCTGTTTAAAGAAATCTAAACAGGATGTTGCTGTTTGTCTTCCGCTTTGGTTTGTTTTTTGTATTGTTCAGGCTTTAGAGAAACAGAGCTAATGGGACACACACACACACACACACACACACACACACACACACAGAGGATGGACTGACTCATGCAGTTCTGCTATTGGTAAAGCTGATGGAGTCATTCTGTTCAAGGATGGCAGGCTCAGGACCCAGAAGGAGCTGGTGTTCCAGTGTAATTCCAATGGTAGGAATATTGTAGGTGTCTTCGTGAAAGGTTCAGGCATTATGCTGGCCTGCCACTGTTACCTGGTGGAACAGGCAGTACCCAGGTCAGCCCAGGGTTCCATGGGAACTAAGTTGCACGCAGGTGCAAAGGACCCTTTAAAAGACAGATCCCTGCCCATTTATGCTCTCCCTCTCTCTCTACACTTCTCTCTCTACACTCTACTCTTCTCTGTCTGCTTCTCTTCTCTCTCTCTCTCTCTCTCTCTCTCTCTCTCTCTCTCTCTTCTCTCTCTGGCGACCGGTCATGGTGGTCAGCCATTAACCCTGTTTCTCTTCTCTCTAGTCTCCCTTCTCTGCCAGGCCTTTAATAAACTGGTTAATATGTCTAATATGTCTCATCTTATATCTCATCTTGTACCTTCCTCCTCTTCTTCTTTATCTTTAATTTAAACAAAAATTTTAACACTTAGCCTGATGTCTGTTGGGAGAAATTCTCCTACTGCCCAGTTGTTTGTTCTTTTCAAATGTGAAGGATTGTTTGAAACACATCCATGAGTCTAGTCTGCTGTGTTCACTCTACTCAGATAAGTATTAGCCTCATTCAGAGCTTCTAAGCTCTCAGTCAAGTACATATTACAGCACATGATGAAGGATAGAGAGGGAGGACATGGGAGTATTCCATCACAGTTCTAGTCATGATGAAAATGAGACATTGATGGCAATTCTGGTTCTTAGGGTTGTAGGTGCTCTGTGGTCATATCTTGGACTTCCAGCTTTCTATTCTACTTTTTGCTGTTATACTGCTCTTTCTGCATTCCCTTTGCCATCAGTAAGTGCCTTACTTGGTTATAGCGTCTGCTGGTAGCTGGTAACATTCATTCCTGAAGGGTGTGGGCCATGTATAGCTTCACTGGATTTGGTTGTGACAGGATGCATTAAACACTTAGAAAAATGCCTGTATTCCAAGGCCTGCTCTTGTAGCTTCCATGTAGGGTTATGGATCTGTCATCTAGCCACTTGCAAAGCCTTTCTCTGTTAGTTCAGAGGCATGAGGAGCCCAGCATAATTGAGTGTGTGGTATAAGTTCCACTCCAGTGGAATCATCGTTGTGGCATCTAGTGGAAGAATTTCTTCTTTGGACACTCAGACCTCTGAGCTATCAGAGCATGAAGTCATGGGAGCAGGAAGCATGTTTTTGCTGAGTGAGTCACTAGGGGTATATTGCTAAGCACTGCCACTCCCATTTCCACCCCTAATACCTGCATGCTGAGTTGTGGTTATAGGTATCATTTGTTGGACCTGATTCAGGGTACATAAAGCTTTTTGAAGAAATGTCCTGTCCTTCTAACTTATACTGTAACTGAGTCTCTTACATTAATTTCCACTACTCTAACAAGCCATTCTAGTCAAAATACAATATCATACTTAGTGCTATAGATAGATCTGTAATTCCAGCCACTGAGAAGGCTGAGGTAGGAAGATTACAAGTTGAAGACCTGCCTGGGCTACAGAACAAGTTCAAGGCCAGGCCGTGCAACTTAGTGAAGCCCTGCCTCACAGTAAAAAAGTGTTGGGATATAGCTCAGTGGTAGAGCACTTGGCTAGTATTCATAGGCCCTAAGTTCAGCCACCAGTACTGGGAAAAATAGGTGGCATGTATGTGCATGAGTACAAAGTGCTGTCCCTTCAGTGAAGCAAAGGGAATAGTGTAATTACCCTGGTACTCAGGTGCTGGCTGATCCTCCAGGAAATAGAGCCATATCAGAGACTAAGTATATTTGGGTGATGGCAGAGGTGGCTGTGAAAAGAGGCAGCTTATAGTTCACAGAATGGGGCTTTCTTCTATTGATTGATTTGGTCCAAGCACCTCATTGGTCACAATCATGTATTCTTCCAAGCAGTGGGAACAGCAAAAGGTACTATAGGCCTGTTCCAGAAAGAGTCTATAGTATTGCCAACTGTTCACTTTTGGCTGAAGCTTCCATAATGCCATCTGTAAAATGCTTTGTTCTCTTCTTCCTGTGTCAATTCTTGGTAGAATTCCCCATGTGGTCACAGACATGGGGTTGTGGTGCCTCCGGTTGGCTTCATTTTGATTAACCATGGTCTAGTGGGTTCCCATCCCCTGGTCTGCACTGTGCTGTACCCTTGTAGTTTTTAATCAGCTGAGTATGATTGAGTCCCCTCTGGAGAAATGTCACTTTTTAACACACTTAAGCAGATTAAAGTGGCTGGTTATTGTCACTGATGGTCTGTGTAAAAAGCCTTCCTGGAATCCTGTCTGCCATCACACTCTTCTCTGTCAATCCTTGAGTCAGCAGGAGCAGCAAACAGATTTGGCTGGGTCCCTTCCTGTGTATCATCTGGAAAATCTGTAACTTTCCCTGTCCTCTGAGGACTTGGATGGGAACACTGTGTGACATTTCTCCGGGACAGCCTTTTGGATATTTTTTCTCCTACTTGCCCCCTTCCTCTGGGGCTCTATCTCCTTTCACCCATGTCTATCTTCTTTAAAACTAACTTAGCTTCACACCAGGCACGTGGGAGATGCAAGGGGATCTCATTTGGGAAGGAGGAGGACTTAAGAAAATGAGAGTGGGTTAATCCTTTGTCATATAGTGTAGGTCTCACTCTATGGAACAATGAAAACCAGCTGGCAGTCAGTATCTGATGTGGCTGGAGCAGGGATGGGTTTGTGAGAGCAGAGAGTGAGTGCACTTGAAGCTGTGTTTTACTGTATGAACTGGTTACTGTGGCATAGCTGTGACTAGTTACCCATGGGAAGAATTTAAGGAAGATAACATTTGGCTCATGACTTCTGAGAGGTCCAGCCCGTGTTTGCTTGGCTTCATGGACATCTGAAGAACATCACAGTGATGGCACTGTGTTGCAGAGACACTTCTCTGTCCTATGGTGGATAGCGACAGGAAGAGAAGGATTCAGGAGAGGGGGGCCACAGCAAGATATGGCTTCAAGGGCACATAGCCCTCTCTACCCACCCAGTGACCTGCCCTCCCACTAGATTCTGCCCCTTGCTTTTCCCCATTTCCCAATAATCTTATCATATTTTGAGTCCATCAATGGATTGAGTCTAAAAGATCAGAGTCCTGGACACAGGTCAGATACACCAAGGCGGGCTTTATAATCTATTTGTTTCTCTGTTGAATCACATCGACAATACTCACCTTCACACTGTGCATGAGTCTTAACTGTAATAATCTTTGTACAAGCTAAGCCTTGATTTTACACCTTTGTTATGTATGACATGTAGAACAAAGGTGCCATATGTGTAAGGCTGAGATTTTAGAAGTGTGCAGGTCATCCCTACAGTATAGGGAATACTTCTGTTTCTAAGTAAAGTTACCATAACTGTTTTCTCTTTTAAATGTTAAACATTGCAGAAGCCAAGGCTGCCCCAAGAGATTGCTTCATTGAAGTGAATTCTAAAGGTGACAGATTTGGCAACTGTGGTTTCTCCGGGAGTGAGTACAAGAAGTGTGCCACTGGGTAAGTGGAGGCAAGGGTATAGAGGACTGTGAACAAGGGACCAGTCATCTCTGGAGTCTTTTGTAGCTGCCCCTGTGACTGCTGCCTTTCTCCTGCTTCCAATGCTTAACTTCTCACAACATGTATACCAAGGCTTCAGAGAGATGTGGGGAGCAAACCCGATGAAGCATGTCATCCCTTTGCGTGCATTGTTAGATCTAGTGGGTTTAGAACCTTGTTCTGTTTATCCATAATCTACAGTACAATTCCTGACTGAATACCTTCATCCCCCTTTCCTGCAGGAAAACATTCTCTTACTCAGTTGATTGGGTCTTTCATTATTTCTAGTTTTCCCTTATATGTATTTAAAGTGATGAAGTCAGACTTTCTTGTTATTTTTGTAGGTTGGTGGGATGGCTAAGCAGGTTAAAGTGCTTTCCACCAAGCCTGACAACCTGAGTTCAGTTTCCTGAACCCATACTGTAGATGGAGAGAACTGATTCTAGCAAGTTGTCCTCTGACCTACACACAGGCATTGTGACACACCTGTGCAGGGGCAGGTGTGTGCAGGGTAATACATGCACAGAAACACAAAATAAATAAAAGTAAAAAGCTATATTTCTATAATTAATGTTTACTTATTATAAAAATTATAAATGAAGACACATAATTTCAATGTGTTTCCTTCCATTTTGTGTTTGTACTCTGCACGCATCCACAGTGGCATTTTACTCGGTGAGGATGATTCTGCAGTACTGTGTGCTGCCACTGGTTGAGCTCAGCAGCTTGTGGAAGGTGGTGCTGAGTAAGCAGCAGTAGCAGTAGCAGTGGCAGCATGACTACTTCTTGCTCCTTAACTCTGCAGGAGTGTTCAGTCAAACCGACTGTTTAAGTAACGATTCTGTTGGTGTGCAGAGACACCATCCCCAAGCCAGATTACAAAAGAAAAGAGTTAAAGGGGTTTATAGTTTCAGAGGGTGAGTCCATGACCATCATGGTGGGGAACATGGCAACAGGCAGGCAGGTGTGGTGCTGGAGCAGTAGCTGAGAGCTCTATCCCTGGTCTGCAGGACAAGAGGGAGAGAAGGAATCACTGGGCCTGGCTTGAACATTGAAATCTGAAAGCCCACCCCCAGTGACACACTTCCTCCAGTAAGGCCGCAACTCCTAATCCTTCTAATCCCTTCAAATACAACCATTCCCTGGTGATTAAGCATTCAAGTATATGAGCCTATGGGGGCCATTCTTATTCACACCATCACAATAACATTTTCTAATTTGTATCAGGATTTCTTCATTGACTCATGAGTTACTGTTTAACTTCCAAATTTGCTTTTTAGTTTAATTTCATTGAGAAGACTCTGGGCTGGGGTAATGGCTCTGTCTGTAAAGTTCTTAGGTGCAAGCATGAAGACCTGAGTTCATATCTGTAGGGCTTATAGAGAACCAGGCTCAGCAGTGCACACCAGTGATTGTAGTGCTAGGGGCACAGGGGTAGGAAGGTTCCTAGGGCTCACTGTCCAGCCTGTGCGGCCAACTAGTGAGCTCCAGATTTAGTGAGAGACCCTCTCTCAAAAAATGAAGGTTGGAACAATTCAATTCATCCATTGTTAACCTCTAGTTTCCACATGTACACACACAGCATATACACCAAATGTACATGCTAATTCACCATACACACACGCACAGCAAGTAATTGATTTCTAAGATAATTTTAAAAAGCACAAGTTCTGCACACCCAGCTCTTGCTGTGTTGTACATCATGACCTAGCATGTAGTTTGTTCAGGAGACTGTTCTATCTCATCGTGTGTCATCCTCAATTGTTGGATATGTTAGTTGTGTTTGTTGCTGGTTAATTGTCTTAATCAAATGTTTCCATGACTTTGAGGCTGTTGAATGTACTTGCTCCTTCACAGAGAGAGGCCAAGTGGATCTGTTTCCTTTTTAGTTCTGTAAACTTCTATGTTACATGTTTTTATTTGTTATTGGGCATAGATACATTTTAGGGTTAAGTCTTAATGAATCACCCTTTTATCATTATCAAATTTTCACCATTTACTTCTGGAATATTCCTCTGTAGTGTTTGCCATAATATCACTTCTTTATCACCGTCTTATTACCTCTCCTAACTAGACTAGGCTTGGTGACACATTTCTTCTTTATGGATGGTTAGCATAATACCTGGATTATGGTAGCCATTAAGTATTTGTTGAGTGAATGAGTAAAAGAACAGGAGGTATGAGAGACAAATTAATGGGTTGAGAATTAGAAACTATGGAATGAACTGATGAAAACCTAAGGATAAGGGAATTAATGCAAACTTGAAGGCAGTTTGGTGGACTGAACCTATTCCTTTTTTTGTTTGTATTTTTGTAAAGGGCCTTGCTCTATAGCTTAGGCTGGCCTCAGACTTCTGACATTGTAGGCATATAGCATCATGCCTGATATACATCCTTGTTTTTAGCGTTGTTTCATTTCACAGCCTCATGTTTATCTTGTTGAAGATGTTGAGACTACATTTACCTGACTTAATAGTCCTTAGAAGCCTACTTGAGAATTTTGTACTACAAATTCTTTTGTACTTAGTTCTACAAAGCTAGTACAAAGATTAAGAGTGTGCATTAGAGCTGGGCAGTGGTGGCATACACCTTTAATCCCAGCACTCAGGAGGCAGAGGCAGGTGGAGCTCTATGAGTTCAAGGTCAGCCTGGTCTACAGAGTTCTAGGACAGCCAGACTGTTACACAGAGAAACCATGTATTGGAAAACAAAAAAGAGAGAGAACTAAAAAAAAGTATGGCTTTTTGGTTAGAATGTGAAAATTTAAACCCTGGTTTGGCCACTTCAGGGCTCTCACTTTGGACAGAGTCCTTTACCTTCACCCTCTTCTCTGTCCTGTGAGATGGGGATGGCTGAGGTACCTTTTCCTAAATACTGCTGTGAGACCAAGTGCACTGGGGGTTTAGTCATAACATTTGTCCTGTGTGTTCTGTCTTAGCATTCTCTCACCCAGAAATACTTCTGTAGTTTTTCCTTTCTGTGTGTGTGTGTATGTATATATGTGTACATTCACAAACATGAGTCGTATGCTTTCTCTTTCAGTACATAGAGTGTAGTCCTCTGAGGCTTTTGTTTATTAGGTATTTGTTTACTTATTTGGCATTTATGTCTTATTTACTATTTATAAAACACTGTATTTGTCAATTAGTTAGATTCTGCTGAGCCTTAGACAGCCAGTGAAGAGGGAAGGAGTAAAGTACCATGGCACTGCTTGCCACCCTACTTGGTGACTGCAGTTTGGCTGCAGCTCACCTCTTCTCTTCCCAGCTGCTCCAGGAGAGCTGTGCTGACTTTAAGATTTCCTTCAGCCACGAACAGCAGACACGTTCTACATATAAGCATAAAAACTCCTTTTGTGTGTCCACTGGATGCATTTCATGTTTCCATTGCTTCTCTTGCCTGATAGGAATGCCTTGTGTGGGAAACTTCAATGTGAGAACGTACAGGATATGCCAGTGTTTGGAATAGTGCCAGCGATCATTCAGACACCTAGCCGAGGCACCAAATGTTGGGGTGTGGACTTCCAGCTTGGTTCAGATGTTCCAGATCCAGGGATGGTGAATGAAGGCACAAAATGTGATGCTGGAAAGGTAACCTGTGTTTTCTATTTACAAACAAAAACCACCTTAAAAATCATACAAAGGTAGTGGCTGGCTTCTTCCCTTTGGGGAAGGGGGGGGGGTCTGCATCCTAGTATTTTCAGAAAATCCAAAGCCACCATGTAGAAACCTGGGTACAACTCTAATTGTTCCACCTGTATTTCTTCACAGGGCCCTCTTATGTCTTCCATATTGGATACACTATACATGTTCTTTGTTCTATGTATGTGCTATAATTTGCTAACCAGATTGCTTCTACTGGGACACTTAGTTGATTTCCAAAATTCTTGGGATGGGAGCTTGAGTTCCTGGATTTGTGTGTGTCTGTTTGTATCTCTGGGTCAAAAATATCATGGTGCTTGCCCGGCCCAGGTTTGCCAGCCTATGGCTTGTAACCAGTCCATCCATATGAGTGGATCACCAGGGGCTTTAAATGATTGCTGTGACAGAAAAAGGTGCTGGCTATCTAGTTTCAAAACCATAATCAACAAAACACACCCCTATCTTTTCTTCAAGTGTTAGCAGAAGAGATGGGTGTGTGTGTGTGTGTGTGTGTGTGTGTGTGTGTGTGTGTGTGTAATTCTCAAAAAGTCTGCTTGATTGGGATGTTGAGCATACATCTTTAAGTTTCCTTGGAATACAACAGCCATGGTTAATGAGCTGACTATGTGCCACTTCTAGATGAGTGTTCTTACCCATGAAACCATTTCTCCAGTCCCTTGTATATATTTTTTTAGAATAGTAAAAGTAGCTTGATATTTTACTATACTTTGTAATATAATATTTTCAGAGATAATTCTTTTGAAATCTATTTCAATATTTAGGACTTTTTATCTATTTTATATCTGTTATGAGCTGTAACTTCTACAACCTTATAAAATTATAATGATTTCTTTCCCATTTGTCCTAGAAATTCCTCTATCATTTTACTATCAATTATGATATTAGAAAATAAAAGATAGCTTTTATTATAAAATAAATCATTCTTTTACTTATTTTTAAATTTTTTAAATGGAACTATTTCTAGGTTTATCAGTAACTCCATGCCCCTTTATTTTTATTTTATTTTTTTGAGAAAGGGTTTCACTGTAGAGCCTATTTTGGCCTCAAACTCATGGTCCTCCTGCCTCAGTCTCCCAAGTGCTGGGATTATAGATGTGCACTATTATACTCAGCATGTGGTTTCTTTGCATCTGGAAAAAATTCCTTTGTGAAGATTTTCACAAGGTCTTCATTTCTATACTCATATCAAAGGATAGACTATAATTTAATCAATCTTTGTCTTTTTAATCATTTGTTCAGTGTTATTTAATTTCACTCATTTTCTACATTAAAAATATATAACATTGGAATTAACTGTGCCTTGAAAGTTGGAAGAATTCCCCAAAGATAGGTCCTGCAAGCACCATGACTCAGTAAAGATGCCTGCTGTTAGCCCTGATGACCTGTATTCGACCCTCAGGACAAAACTAACCAAAAGTTGTCTCTTGACTTACACACACACATTGTAACATGCATTTGTACACATATTCACATGTATTTGTATGCACCCCCCCCATCAAAATGTAGTAAAAAATTAAAAGCAAGAATCATGAAATAATCATGATGCTGATCTTTTCCCCTCATAGTCTTTTGTTTTGTTTTTCTAGACAGGGTTTCTTTGTGTAGTCCTGGCTGTCCTGGAACTCACTCTATAGACCAGGCTGTCCTGGAACCCACTATGTAGACCAGGCTGACCTTGAACTCACAGAGATCTGTCTGCCTCTGCCTCCCAAGTGCTGACATTAAAGGAATGTGCCACTGTCACCTGGCCCTTGTAGTCTTTTTGTGCCTAGTTTTTTTGTACTTAATTCTTTATTTTTTTCAGATTTGTAGGAATTTCCAGTGTGTAAATGCTTCTGTCCTGAATTATGACTGTGACATTCAGAAAAAATGTCACGGCCATGGGGTAAGTAGTGTTCCCTTTGGTTTGTGCATAGTGGTAGTGCTGAGGTGATGATGCCAAGGCTTGGGTGGATGTTGGGAGAGTTTGTTCATGTTGGTAAATATTTCATTTAACACACATAGACTCATTCTCTCTCTCTCTCTCTCTCTCTCTCTCTCTCTCTCTCTCGCTCTCTCTCTCTCTCTCTCTCTCTCTCGCTCTCTCTCTCTCTCTCTCTCTCACACACACACACACACACACACACACACACACACACTCTTACTTGCTGGGTGTGGTGGTGTGTATTCCCAGAGTGAGCTCCAATTCAGCCAGAGCTACACAGTGAGAGCCTGTGTGCGGGAGGGTAATGAGTTTGTATGAATTTAGTTCTTAGTTAACACCTGTAGTTGATTCAGAGAATACTCACAATTAACAAGTGGCATTTTGCTTGTTTTAAAGGTGTGTAATAGCAATAAGAATTGTCACTGTGAAAATGGCTGGGCTCCCCCGTATTGTGAGACTAAAGGATATGGAGGAAGTGTGGACAGCGGCCCAACATACAATGGCAAGTAACCCTGAAGGGCATTGGTGTAGCCTCCAGTTGCCCTGGTCAGAAGTTGGCATCCTTATTCCTTTCTTCACTTACCACATCAGCTGCGTGTTCTAATTGTGTTCATTCTGCTTCCTGCACTGCTTGCAGATGTTTCTGGGGTTTTATTGTAGTCCATTTTCTTTCAGTTTTTTGCCTGTCCTTAGAGATTAGCTCTTCTCTAGTTCTCTTACCACCTTGCTTCCTGCCCTGTGCATCCAGATCACATTGGAGGTCTCTGCTGCTCTCCTTGCAGCTCTTGCTATATATGCCCTGCTCTCAGCTCAGTACCTACCCATGCTGTTAGGATGAACTCAAAGTCTTTAGTGTGACATAGATGTGCCCAGTAGGAATTCCCTCAGCTTAGCTGCCTTGAAGCCTCCAGCAAGATGGCATGCCTTCATTAGCTCTGAGCCCATTGTTACTCACTGTAGTTTCTTCCTTATTTCTGGTAGGTATTGTTGTAATTAAAAAAAAAAAAAAGTGGCCCAGCAGTGGTGATGCATGCCTTTAGTCCCAGTACTCGGAGGCAGAGGCAGGTGGATCTCTGTGAGTTGGTGACCAGCCTGGTCTACAAGAGCTAGTTCCAGGACAGCCTCCAAAGCCACAGAGAAACCCTGTCTTGGAAAAAAAAGTGGCCCCAGAGAGAAAAAGATGTCATGCAGCAGAGTCCAAGTGGAAGGGTTTTTTATTAAGGGGAAAGGATTGTAAAACGAGGAAAGGGGAGGGGGGAAACCTGCTTCTGGGGACAGAAGCAGCAGGAAAGAGAGGAGGAGGGGGGCGTCACACAGACAGAGGGAGAGAAAGAAAGATGGGAGGTGGGCAGGACCCTTTTAAAAGGGAACATAGTGAATATGCACAGGTGGTGCTCTTAGTGGCTGCAGCTGAGGGCGTATCCTGTCAGAACCACAAGAACACCGCACAGATGCCTGAATACTACCAGGTATGTTCCCTGTCTGTCCAAGTCTCAGTGAGTACCATCACCATAAGAAGTAGAGTGAGCACAGGCAGTAAGATATTTTGGAAAAAAAAACCGCATTCATGTAATACTTATCTTAGTATATTGTAATGGTTCTATTTTACTACTTGTTAGTGGTAGCCTCTTACTATGCCATTGTAGACTTTGTCACAGGTGTGTATGTATAGTCAGAGCATAGTTGGTCCTTGGTACCATCTGTGTCCCCTGTGGGTCTGTGAAGCCTCTCTAACATTAGTTATGGCCAGTGTTGTGAGCTGCCATGTGGGTGCTGGGAATTGAACCTGGGTCCTCGGGAAGAGCATCCAGTGCTCTTAACCACAGAACCATCTCTCTGGCCCCTAATTTTATTTTCTTACAAATGACACAATTTTGTTTTTCTGTATGGCTGAATAATACTCCATTGCTTTTATTTATGTAATTATATTTATTCATTCACTGACAGGCACTTAATTTGGTTCTGTATCTTAATGTAAGCAAGGGCACAGTGAAATCACCAAACTAAGACGATGCTGTGAGAAGAAAGAAAGGTTTATTGGGGATCAAACTTCCAGGTTGTCTCTTGGGGGCATAGGATAACAACTGGTGGGAAAAGCCTTGCCAGTTTTCAGGGGACAGGGTGTGTGTGTGTGTGTGTGTGTGTGTGTGTGTGTGTGTGTTGGGGGGTGAGCAGGTGTGAGCCAGAGAAGCCTTGGAGTTAGAGCAGCTGGAGGTGGGGTGTGGGCCAGAACACCCTGGGTGTTAGCATGGGAACTTTGATCTGTTGCAGGCTTGTCTGGGTTAATGGGGACCCAGATGCTCTTTGCTGAAGGTGGCTGACTATAGAGAGCAGGTAGGGTACATAGTGGCTTTTCCTGACAAACAGTGAGATTACTGAGGAATGCTGAGCTGAGGTTTCTGTTTACTTGATAGCCATCCTTCTGTTACCTGGTCAGGGTTCTGCCTCAGCAGACCCCAGACTGTCATTTAGGACATTACCAGTGGCACTGTCATTTAGGACAGGGCCTGCTTTGAACCTTGTGAATATGCCACAATGAACATGAATGTGCATATATCTCTGCTATGACCTTGCTATTTTGTGTTTATCCTTATGAGGAGTACAGCTTGACTTTCTGCTTATTTTTAGTAACAGACTTCCACCGACAGCATACAGTGTTCTCTCCTGCCCTCTTCATCCCCAGCTGGGTTCCATGTTTCCTATTCATCATCATCATGGCGAGGGCGAGGCAGGGTCCTTGGGGAGTTTTGATTTGTATTTCTCCAATGACTCTTTTTGGTTGTTTTTGTTTTGTTGTTTGAGACAGGGTTTCTTTGTGTAGCCCTGGCTGTTCTGGCTCTCACTCTGTAGACCAGGCTGGCCTTGAACTCACAGAGATCCACCTGCCTCTGCCTCCTGAGTGATGGCATTAAAGATGTGCGCCACCACCACCTGGCCCAATGACTTTTGAAAAAGTACTTAGTTCATTTGCGCAGTTGTGGATGGGATGACTGTTGGTGTTTAAATATTTGAGTTCCTTATATATTCTGGATGTCAGTCTCCTGTCGGACATTCTATAGTTTGCCTATATACTGTGTTATGTAAAGGCTTTCTAGTTTGCTGCAATCCTACTGATTAGTTCATATTTTTATTTCCTGAGGTATGGATTCCTAATCAGGACATCTCCATGATAGCATCTTGAAATGCTTCCTGTGTTTCTCTAACTTCACAGAGTTGGGTTCCCCTATTAAGATTCAGCTAGCTCTCTCTTTGTGGGTTTATTTCTTGAGCCTCTGTTAGTTGGTGTGCCCATTGTTATGCCAATGTTATGGAGTTTCGTTACTATGGGTATTTTGGAACTAAGTGCTGTGATGCACTGCTCACTTTGCTTAGAATGGCTTTGTGTGTTTTAGGCCTATTGTGTTTACAAATGAGTTTTCAGATGTTTGTTTGGTGTCTGTGAAGGGTGGCACTGCTTCCAGGTGGCTTTGGTAACAGGTTATTTTAACAATGTGTGAGCATGTGGGGGTGTCTTTTCCAGTTTCTTCAGTTTTGTCATTTTCATTATAGAGGTCCTTTACCTTGGTTAGTTTTATGCCTTGGATTTTGTTGTTGTTTGCTTTTCTGGGGGGCTGCAATGAATGGGATAATTTAACTGGTTTGCTCTTACTCTGGTGCAGTTTTTTTTTTTTTGTTTTTGTTTTTTTTTTTGTTTTTTTTTAAACTCAGTTCTAAGGGTAAACTCAGTTCTAAAGGTGGCATCTTTGGGAAGTATAAAAACATCATCCCTACAAACAGGAGTAGTTAAACCTCTTCCATTCCTCTTAGTATTTTTTATTTCTGTTTCTTGACTGGGTTTTCTGGCAAAAATTTCCAGTACCGAAGTGAATAAGAAAGCTGCAGGCTGAGTGGACACCTTTGTCGAGCTGCTGATTTTAGAGGAAATGCCTTCTTTCTTTCTCCTTTAATAATCTTGGCTATGGGGGCTAGAGAGATGGCTCAGTGGTTAAGAGCAGTGGCTGCTCTTCAAGAGGACCCGGGTTCAATTCCCAGCACCCACATGGCAGCTCATACCTGTCTGTAACTACGGTTCCAGGGGATCTTGTATCCTTACACCAATGCACATAAAGTATTTTTTTTAAAATAATAATCTTGGCTATGGTCAACATATAGTTTATAATGTTGAGGTCCTTCCACACACAGTTTATCCAGTGTTTCTCATGAGGGGATATTGTCTGTATCTTGAGATGATCCCATGGGTTTCTATTTGTGTGCTGACATTTTCTTGATATTTGTACCATACGTTGAGCCATCCTTACATCCTGGAATGAAATCATCTTAATCATGGTTTATAATTTTTTTTCAGTGTATAAATTTTTAGGGTGTGATTTAAAATTAGTTTTTCAAGTATTTTATGGAGGATTTTGTATCTATTTCTATGAAGGATATTTATCTGTAGTTTCCCACTTTATCTTCCTCATTTTCTTTTTTGATGCAGCTTCCTCATATTCTGAATAAGGGTGACACTAGCTTTGAAGACTGCTATTGGAAGCATCCCCTCCCATCCTAATGCATGCAACAATTTGAGGGAACTAATGTCAGTTTGTCTTTAGAAGTCTTGAGAGCTGATCTGTGAGTCTGCCTGTGCCTAGTCATTGTTGCAAAACTTTCTAGTACAGCTGCAGATTCAGTGTTTGTTGACTTACTAGATCTTAACGTCTTCTTGGTTTAATTGGGAGAAGTGATATGTGCCTAAATATTTAACAATAACGTAGATTTCCTCATTTATTGGACTTGTAAAAACTTCTCTAATAGTCTCTGGATTTCAGTGGTATCTGTTACAATATTCCCTTTTCAACTCAGGTTTTACTGATTTTTCTTTCTTTTGATCTTTCTAAGGATTTGTCAATTTTATCTTGTCACTTGCATGTGGAGAGATCTATAATACGACAGGCAAATGAGGAAAATGGCAGCACATTTCCATGCCATATTGTAGCTAAAGCTAAATCTTTGTTGTTTAGTGAGCTTGAAGAAATGGAAAAGAAAACCAAATATCTAGTATAAAACATGGAAAAAAAATGCTCAACTCAGTTTAAAAATGTAATTTTAAATCATATACAATACCATTTTATTTATTTATTTATTTATTTATTTATTTATTTATTTATTATTTAACTTGCCATGTTGGGAAAAAGCCAGAATTTTGGCCTTGTAGGGACTATGAAAAAAAGCTTTTTTAATCATTTTTTTATTTGAATTACAAACAAGATTGAATTACATGACAATCCCAGTTCCCTTCTCCCTCCCTTCCTCCCCTACTAACCCCCCAACTAAAACCCTACCTATCACATATCCTTTCTTCTAATCTACACCTGACTCAATCTTTCTGCTCCCTCATGACCTCTTCATCCTTGAAGAATTTTTATATATCACTTGGGAGTGTACCAAATTTTAACCATCACTGTGGAGTATAGATTATAACTTGTCCTTGACATAGAACAAAGCTTCTCTGGGGAAAATTATTCTGTAGTCTGTTACAATAAATCTTTCCGCCAAATGCCGCCTGAGTCCCACCACCATGTGTGAGTTTTACGCCAGCCGCCTGCCTGAGTTAGGGCCCAAATGAATACACAGAAACTTGTATTAGGTACAAATGCTGCTTGGCCAATGACTAGGATTCTCATAGCAGATAGTTATGGTTATAGTTTTCTTCAGTTATTATAAAAGATAAGTTATCCTTCTTTTTATTTAGACAGAAAAGGGGAGATGATGGGGGAAGTACTTCTGTGTATGTTTATCTTATTGATTGTTAAGTAAAATACTGTTTGGCCAATGAGACAGTAAGTTAGAAAGGACTAGGAGTCAAAGAGGATTCTGGGAAATGTAGTAGAGAAGTGGTGATCCAGGCAGGAAGTGACATAGCAAGGAGATTTATATTTAAAGAAGGAGAAACAGGAAGCGCCCCTCTTTTTCCCCTCCACTCCTGCTCCAGCGGCACAATGTGATTGACCAACAAGGAGGGATGCCAATGAGGCACCTGATAAGATAAGTCTTATAAAATGTATAGGTTTATGATAGTTAAGACTGAGCTAACAGATGAGAATCCTAGTCATTGGCCAAGCAGCATTGTACCTAATACAAGTTTCTGTGTATTCATTTGGGCCCTAACTCGGGCGGGCGGCTGGCGTACAGCACACATGGTGGCAGGGCTCGGCGGCTTATGGCAGAAAGATTTATCGTAACAAAAGTCACACCGGAGTACATTTGCTCTGGCTCAATAACAAAGTCATATGTTGTGACATTTCATCAGTACTGAAATGGTGAAGAGATGACAGCACGTATCAGATCCCCTCACTGGTGTGTAGCTGTCTGGTGTAGAGAGACAGGAGCAGGTGAACAAATGATGCACCAGTAGTGTCTGTTGGTAGGATGCTGCCTCTTGGGTAACAAAGGACAACCAGGAGATGTATTTTGTCCTTGCTTACATTTGCATGAGGAAGCACTAGGAGATGAAATAAGAAAAATGCTGGTGTGAAATATGTACAATGACCTGACCCATTCTGGGTGGAGAACATTGATGTCTTCTGTAACTGACCACAGTGTACTTTTATCTCTCTAGCAAAGAGCACAGCACTGAGGGATGGACTCCTGGTGTTGTTCTTCTTAGTCATCCCCCTGGTTGCAATTGCCATTTTCCTCTTTATCAGGAGAAATGAACTACGGAGAACCTTCTTCAGAAAGAAGAGATCACAAGCGTATGAGTACTTAGCCTTTTCTTTTAATGTGTATTAAGTAATTAAAGTAATTATTAATGATCTATCCTAGAACTAGGAAAACTTTTGATGTGATACGCATGGGGTAAAGATGGTGGTGAAACTAGCCAGGATGGCAAGGCTTGCGGTATAAGTGCTTGGGAGGCTGAGGCAGGAGGACTGTGAGTTCAAGGCTGCTCTGGACTACCCATGGAGACTTTATTACTCACACACACACACACACACACACACACACACACACACACACAAAAGAAAAGGAAAAAGACACACACACACACACACACACACACACACACACACACTAAAGAAAAGGAAAAAGAAAGACCGGTGGCTAAGCCACCACTTAGGCCAGGCAGGGGAAGGGCTGCAGTGAACAGTGTGTTTGCTGTTAACAGTGGTCCTTAGGGCTCATTTTGCAATACACTGATTTCTGATAGTTGCAAGTAGAATTTAGGACTTGACATTGGATTTAGGTTTTCTAACAAGAGATTAAAACATGGAATAAGGATAAGACGTGTGTTGGGAAACTTCCATGTCTTCCTTTTATGTGTCAGTTCTTACAAAGGAAGTTTCAACTCTTGTTTTGAAAACAGAATTTAAGAAATAAGTTTTGATGGGAAAAAGTTTAGACACCTGCTGCTTTTCTGTCAGTATGTTGAACTTTCATAAACATCCCCATCAAAAGTCACTTTAATGCACTGAATCAATATTTAGCATTTATGTTAACAAGGGCATTATAACCAGCTAGGAGATCAAATTTGTCAGTAATCTGGTAAAAATGTGAACTGAAATTGACATAATTCTTTGAGTCTGGGCTTTTTCCTATAAAATGAGGATAATAATGGTGCCTATTTTTGTAGGGTTTTTAAAGGTTAAGTCAGGAAACATCAGCAAAGTCCAGTGCAGGAATGAGGTTCTCGTGTAGCTCTGATAATGATCCCAGATGGCCCTGCAGACTTTGGGGCCCTGTTTGTAACACACTGTCACATACTTTCCTGCAGTGTGCTGATATGAGCTTAAGAGTTGAAAGTATCCTGTCCCCTCCCCCTTGCTGGCCATCACAGTTGTGACTGGCTGGTCCCTGCAAACTTCTGAGTCTGCAGTTTTAGTTTACACAGTGAGAGCAGTCTCTGTGCACCCTGTCTGGCAGACGCCGGCCCCTCCCCACCCTTCTGAGGGATTGATGCTTAGCTGGTGTGGATCCAGCCACTGAACTTCCGAGGTTTAGAGTGACTGCTCCAAATGTGCATGCAGACCCAGGATTTGCTTTTAATTTTCTCTATTTTAATAAAAATTGATTTACATTTTGATTTCATATTAAATGAAATGCATTTAATAAAAATGTATTTCAGATCAGATGGCAGAAATCAAGCAAGTGTCCCTCGACAGCCAGGGGGTCCAAGTGTCCCTCGACAGCCAGGGGGTCCAAGTGTCCCTCGACAGCCAGCGGGTCCTCAACATATTTCTCCAGTCGCCCCATCTAGAGAAGCTGTAAGTTTCCTAAAATTGTTTCCTGCTGTGTTCAATTGTTGCACATTTAAAGACATGAAAGGGAACCAGGAATGGGTGTTGGTGGTAGTGCCCTCGTCTAGCATGCCTAAGACTATAGGTTTGATCTTCAATCCTAAAGACAAAGAGGCAAGATAAAAAAAAAATGGTTTCATAGATTAAAACATAGATAACTTTACTAAGAATTGGGTGGTATTGTAGGCATCCTCAAATTAAAGGAACCAGCAGAGTCCTGGATCAGAGGATGTAGGAAAAGGCATTTGTCATCAGAATGTTTTGTCTTAAAATGAGGATTGAGAACTGGGGTTGAATGTTTTTCTTCCTGCTGGTTCTTTCTGGTTTCAATACTTGACTCCCCTAGGACATGCTACCAAGGTAGCATTGGGTGGGCCTCATCATTTCTGCCAGTGTATTACAGAGTATAGGAAGGGGCATATTTTTACTGATAAGCAATGTCTAATGTAAATTTCATCTTCCCTTGGACTTTTAAGAAAGCTTGGGTATTTACAGGCAAGTCTGGTGTACTTTTACCATTACCTTGCTCTTCATCCCATAACCCGAACCCAAACAATGGTGGGTCTTCCAACTCGTTAATCAAGCTAATCCCTGACAGGTGTGCCAGAGGCTTGTCTCTTAGGTAATTCCAGATCCTGTCAAATTTAAAGTCATTAGTGACTGTCACATCTAGATAATGTATTTTGATTTTGTTTATCTTTTTAAAACTTCAATCCTTATTTTCATACATGTTTCCTGACTATTTTATTGATGTCTGCTTTTTTTTGAGACAGGGTTTCTCTGTATTGTTTTGGAAGCTGTCCTGGAACTCACTCTGTAGACCAGGCTGGCCTCAAATTCACAGAGATCTGCCTGCCTCTGCCTCCCAAGTGCTGGGACTAAAGGTGTGCACCACCAATGCCTGGCTGATTTCTACTCTTATCTTTATTTTTCCTTTCATTCTACTAACTTTATCATTGTATAATTTCCTTTTCATAGTTTTTTTAATGATTGCTTCATTCTTATTTTTCTAGGTTTTATAAATAACATTAGGTTGTTATTTGATAGTTTTTTCCTTTTAAAATGGCATGTCTTCCTTTTGATAGAGGTATTTATTGCTATAAGTTTGTTATGAGCTATCTTTAGATTTCCCTCAGATGATCTTACAAGCATTGTTAATTTTGTGTTTACATTTTTGTCTCAAGAGGTGTTTCTGTATCTCTTTTGATTTCTTGACCCAATGATTGTTTGGAAACATAGTGTTTCATTTCTATGTATTTTTGATTCTTCTAAAATTCCTTTTCTATTTATTTTAGTAACACCATTGTGGCTGGGGTACTTGATATGATTTCAGCATTCCTTTATTTCTTAGGACTTGTATAGTGACTGAACAAATGCTTGCTCGCTCACAGAGAACGTTCAGTATACTAGAGAATAATGAGCACTTGCTGCTGTATAACAGAATGCTATTTGGTGTTTGTTAGGTCTTTAGTTCATGTCTGATGTTTCCTTATTGATTTTTCTGTCTCCACAATTGGACTTGTTTTGCAATCTGTCTCTGCTGCAGATCAGTTAATATTTGCTATATTTCAACTGCCTTGTCAAGGAAGAGTATCATGGGTTCTACTATAAGGGATAATAGGTTATTGGTTTTCGCAGTACCAGTTAGATAACATATAGGCTTGCTAATAAAATTTCAGGGTATTTTATTTAAAATTTATTGGCAGTCTTTAGTTAATTTAATTCAATATTATTATACCTTAGTATTATTTCATTTGAAAATATAGCCTTGAAATAAGGAAGTGTAACATTTGGTAGTAAAGATGAACCAAACAGGAAACTTTTTTCCATCTGCTGTCCTGGAGATCAGACTAGGAGTTTTGTGCATGCCAGAAAAGTACTTTGCCATTGATCCTCACCCCTGCTCACTGACCCAAAGTAGTTCTGAATATCAGCATCATCAGTATCCTGGGAAGTATACTGATTACTTTTTTTTTTTTTTTTTTTTTTGGTTTTCCGAGACAGGGTTTTTCTGTGGCTTTGGAGCCTGTCCTGGAACTAGCTCTTGTAGACCAGTACTAATTACTTTTATACAATAACCTTATACCTAAGACAAATTTATGTCTACACTCTAGCAGTAACTATGCATTTTCTTTTCTTTTCAGCCTGTGAATGCAAACAGATTTCCAGTACCAACCTATGCAGCCAAGCAGCCTCCGCAGTTTCCATCAAGGTTGGAAGGAAATGGGTTTAGATGACTTGACCACATTATTGCAGTGCCTTGCAATTTCTAATTTAAAGTTGACTTAGGGCAAGGTATTTAGGTAATTTAACTTGGAACACATTTGGATAGAACACAATTTGTGGGAAGGCTTTCTAAGAACTTTTATATGAATATTGTTATAGTAGTACAACATCAGATATGAATATTGTTATAGTAGTACAACGTCAGAAAGAAACCTTAAAGAAAACTGGGTCAGACTGCCATCCTGTATAGCTTTTGGTGTGTATAGAATTCAGAATCAAGGACCTTAAAATAATCAGAGGTGGAAAACTCACTGGTGGTGCCTGCTTTCTCACAGAGAATAGCTAGAGAAGCCAGACAGCAGGTGGATGCAACCGTTTGGAAAGGAAAAGACCAAGAAGGAAGGGGATTGCAGGCCGGGGCCAGAGCAGGACACATGGAGATGACTGGCTTTGTGGAAGACTTTTCTGTCACAGATCCGTCACCTGTTCTGATGGTAGAGAGGAACCAGGGAGTTGAAAGGAACTTTTAAGGAACTCAGGGCAGAGGAGGCAAAGTTAGAGTTCTGCCCAGGGGGCATCCAAGACAAACTTCTCAGGTTTTGGGGATCCAGGGCCAGAGATGGTCTATACTTTTGATTTCTACATAAAAGAGCCAGGGATACAAGTATAGAAATTGTGGTTAAAACTAAACAATACATCATAAAAAAGAAAATCAGGGATTGTCTAATTAGTGATCATCAGACATGAGTTTTAAATAATTCTGATCATATTAGTGGTCCAGGTTGAGACTTCAGCCTAGAACTGCAAAGTTTAAAAAACCCCACAAATTCCAGAATCTAACACCACCAGAACTGGACTGAATACACAAAGTTTGAAGGATGTGTGAAATACATTTACTATACTTTGCCATATGAAATGTATCTGACTCCTTCCACTCCTCAAAGCTTTCACATTCCAATGGTTTCTACATGTATAACCTACTGTTCAGGAAGAGTGCATTGAAATCCCACTGAGGATGAAGAGAAAAATGTGTATATTTAGAGTTATTTTCTAGATAGTGCTCTAGTGTGGCACGGGAGGTGAGGGGTACTAAGTTGATGCGGAGGTTAGGAATGGTGTCCATAACGTAGTGTGTGGATATTGAGATCAATGTGTGTGGGTATAATGGCCTGTTTTAAACGTCAGGTTTGACACGGTTTGAAGGATCTGGAGTTCAGTCCTGTGTGTGAACATAGACTTAGTTTTACATTAAGCAGTGGTTTTGATGCCCATAATTTAAATATTTATATATTTTTAAATTTTATTTCATGTGTATGAGTGTTTGCCAGTATGTATGTATGTATGTATGTACATATGTACGTGTGTACACCAGAAGAGGGTGTCAGATTCCCTGGAACTGGATGTTTAGACGGTTGTGGACTACCATATAGATGCTAGGAACAGAAACTTAAGTCTTCTGTAAGAGCAGCAAATGTTCCTAACAGCTGAGCCTTCTCTTCAGACATACCCATAATCTGCCCATAATTTTTTAATTAAAAATAATTTTTAAATATAAAGATGTAAAACAATATTAAAATGAAAACTAATAGCTGGGGAACAGGATTGCCCCTCCCCCAGTAATCCTTAGCTTCCTATAGCTCCTCAGGGAGGGGGTCAGGTCACGTGATTTCCTCCTGAATATGTGATGGGATGCTAGTGGCCTTACTCTTAATTTGATCTTGTCTGAGTAACTTCCGTGTCTCCAAATTCTTGAGTATAACAGCCATGTTATAACAGCCATTCAGGAGGCAGGGTTTTTCAAAGCGCATCTGCAGATCTTGGGCTCTTTTCTTTTTTCCTCTCCCTTTTCTTCCATGTTTCCTGAACCACAGAGGGGGAAATATCGATGTCCCATTCAGTACCATCTCAGCACTCTGGGCAGTCACAAGTGTTTGTTGTCATTAGTTCCCACTGAAAAGGACATTTCTCTGAGCAATGCTGAGAGCAGCATGTGGGTATAAACATAAATATTTGGTGGGCAGTTTGACAACATGACCACTAGGGGCTCTGGTTCCTTCAGCCATAGTCTTTGATCAGGTTTGGAGTGGGAAGCATGACTTCTTTCTATTTAGAAAGCAGATGGTCACCCGTATCATGGACATGACACCATTGCATCATTAAGCACATCTGGCCTGGCAAGTTTATATTGTACCATTGCAGGGTCCATGGTGTGGGTAAGACCTTTGGTGACTTTTCTTCACCAGTACTCTACAACACACACCAGCGATATGAAAGTTAACTAGTAGAGATGAAGGTTTCAGTTCTGTTTTAGCTAGTTTATCTGTGTTCTGCAGCCTGAGTGTGCTTTGTCTTCACCAGTAGGGCTTTCCCTTTTAGTCCTGGTGGACAATCAAGATCAATGATAGTAACTTACATTACCTTGAAGGCCTCTTGGGCCTCCTTGACCAACAATTCATAGTAGTTGTCCTACACCTGGCACCAGAATGTTTTTATTTAGTAACTATGGCTTCTAGCAATAGCCTGATCCATCATGCAGGGTACTTCCATTTAAACTAATTTTCTTTTATGTTTTTATATTATAATTTTAAATTATCTTACAAAGTAGGGTTTTTTTTTCATCCACCCCCCTTTAATCTTGATGACGCTTCCCACTAATCCCTTCCCCTCTCCCATCCGTCTGCCCTCACCCACTACTTGAACATTTCCATCTCTAATGTTCCCCTCCTGCCTTTATGTTACACATGTTCTTCTGTCACTCCTCTCCATGTTGCATCCAGCTGGAATAAAAGATGCAAAATATTATCTTAGGTTTTTATTCCTTCCTTTCTTCCTCCTCACCCTACCCCCTCTTTGGTTTTCTTTCTGGCTTTCTCTCTATTTCCCTCCCTCTCTCCCTCTTCTGGTGGCACTAAGTATTGAACTCAGAGCTTCAAATATATTAGTAATGTTCTATATTTGAGCTCTTGTTTATTTTATTTACTTTAGATTTTTAATTTTTTTGTAATTTGAGATTATAATATAATTGTATCATTTCTCTCTTCCCTTTCCTCACTCCAACCCCTCCTATATATACCCCATCTCTTTCAAATTCATGGTCTCTTTGTTGTTGGTGTGTGTGTGTGTGTGTGTGTGTGTGTGCGTGTGTGTGTGTCTGTCTGTCTGTCTGTCTGTCTGTCTGTCTATCTATCTAAATAAATAAATACAATCTGCTCACTCGATATATGTTACTTATACATCTGTTATTTTCCATAATAGTCTCTGTGTGTTGCATGGAGACCTTTCTTTGATGAGGGGTAAGGCCTATACTTATCTGTGGGTATAAAGACAAATATTCAGAATGCAGTTAGGACTGTGCTAGTTTAGTAAAGTGGTGATTGAACTTAAGACCCCCTCAACATGAAGGAAATTATGCCTGGTTGTAGTGACATCTTGTTCCACAAACAGATTAGAGGTACCAATAGATTAGCTGGTGGGAGTGTTGCCTGCGGGCTCTAAGTCCTGTGCCTGTTGGTAGCCACTTGGGCTATGGGAAGTGCCCACATTGGGCACCAACTGAAGGCATGATAAAGGAAGTCCACATACACTCGAATAAAAGAATAATGGATATTTATCTGGGGAATACTCACACAATGAAGATGAATAGCTGCCACAGTCTTCTCCCCCCCTGGAGGCACAGGATGCTTCCATTCAGGATGCTTGGACCACAATCCAATAAGAGCGAGGGCCCTTCCTCTTCCTTATAAGGGGTCATGTCTACACATTGAAGCCACACCCTAAGGCCGGTACCTCAAATCTATTGGCAGAACAAGATGCCACTACACCTGGTACTGGAAACTTAGCCAACTACCCAGGACTAGTGAAGTCATGGATCTTAGAGGAAAAATATGTTTATTTTTAATGACTGAAGTTAAGCCTTTGTCTCAAGTCTACAGAAAGCCTCAAGACCAGTGCTTTTTTTCCCCTTCTGCATGTAGTTAATTTTAATTGTTCATTCTTAGAGAATTCTATAGTATATTTTGATCATCCCAACTCCTTCCTACTCCAGCTCTTCCTAGATACCTTTCACCATGACCTTCTCAAAACTTCATGCCTTCTTTTCATAGTCCTCTAGTTCAATGCCTTCCTTGTGTACTTGGCATAGGGCTATCCCTTATAGCATGGCTGCCCATAAATTTTCACCACACCACCAAAGTGCTTCATCCACGTACTGACCTCATTTGTCTTTTACAATTGATTTGATAGTTTCATAGGCATTCTTTTTAAAAACAAACTGGAACCTTCATACCACACTGATTATGGAGTAACATTAATATAAAGTAATGACGAAGACTGGGGAGATAGCTTAGGAGGTAATGTGCTTGCCACATAAGCATTCAGGACCTATGATCACATCCCCAGAACCCATTTCTAAGTTGACCAAGGTATACTGTCTGCAACCCCAGCACTGGGGAAAGGAGTGGGCAGAGACAGGAGATGCTCTAGAGCTCACTGTCTGTCTGCCTAGCCAATCAGTGTGCTGCAGAGTCAAAACTAAGAGGGAGAAGCTAAAGAAGACACTTGACCTTGACCTCTGGTCTTCCAAAACACACACACAAACACACACAGAGGTAGTGATTCCCTATTGTAGACTAGTTAGACTAATTTAGACTATTCTAAAACTGGGTACCTTTAGCCATTGAATATCTTGTGGACAGTGATTGCAGAGCACAGAGTAGAAAGTATCCTTACCTATAGTCAGAGGGGCTGAGAGTGGAGTTGTGTTGAGCTTGTCATGAATCCAGCATGATGTCATTCAATCCACACACTTTGCTAATTTATTTTTCCTCCTCACAGGCCGCCTCCACCACAGCCAAAAATATCATCTCAGGGAAATTTGGTTCCTGCTCGGCCGGCTCCTGCACCTCCATTATATAGCTCCCTCACCTGATGTGAGGTTCTTATTTTTCAAACATCTTCAGGGAACTGAGCAAATGCTTTTTTTTTTTTTTCCTGATGTTTTCTTGAAAAGCCTTTCTCTTCCAACTATGAATGAAAACAAACTACCACAAAACAAGCTTTATTAACACAGACACAGAGTGGGGAGCCGAGAGATACGGGAACATGCAAAGACTCCAGGAGACTTAGAGTTAACATTTCCATCAATGAAACCTCCTCTTTGGTCATTTGTGAGTCTAATGAACTTAATGTGGATTAAGTTATTTTGAACACACTATTGAAATGGTGTAAGATTTGTCATTATGTGCTTAAATGTAATCCTGACTTAATCGACTTCAGTTATCATTAATAGTTTCTGGCTGAACATTTGAACATGTATTAACCTAGGAAAACTGACTAACTGCCAGTAATGTCTATGTTTTCATCTTGCATGGATTAACAGCCATTTACACAGACTCCTGTCTCTTACTGTCTCCACAAATAAGCAGCTATCCTGAAGATTTCACAAGAACCACAATTACTAGGTCATGACATAATTTGAAAGTATGAAACATGGTGTGTATTCAGTTACTGGATTCCATTCTCAGGATCTCTCGAGCATAATAACTATTATAGAAATTGATTTAACACTAGATCAGTTCCTGGCTTTCATTCTTTTATGATCTTTCAACTATAATGACTATGGCAGCAATTAATTTAACACTAAATTTTCTTTATGCATCATGGTAAAGCATTGCAGTAGCGTCGCTTTAATTGAAGTGCACACTATATGGTACGAGGTGTTTAGTAGACCCGAGCAGATAGGTGCGGATTGATCAGAATCATGGAGAATGCCTTCCATCGGGTGAGCTGTTAGAAAACCACTTGAGAATTTGTGAGCACTTTAACTCTCAACTCTGAATTTTGAAGCTTGATATTGAGTCATTTAGAATGTTTACATTTGCTAAGATGTGCTGGATCTGGTCTCTTTTGACTAATATTTTCATAAAAATTAGGGTGGGGAAAGGAAGGAAGAAATGATTTCCTTAGAAAACTACAGAAATTATCATGGCCTCTGTGAGTAACCATCTCAGCTGTATTAAAATGAATTTGTACTTTGAAAGGAATGATATTGACACTAAAATTTTAAACACTTAAATTTTTTCATAATCTTTCATAAAGAAGTTTAATAATAGGTATATTAACTGAATTTCATTAGTTTTTTAAAATAATATTTTGGTTTGTGTATATATACATATTAAAATAAAAACATTTACAACAAATAAAATACTTGAAGTTCATGTTTGGTCTTCCTGTTACTTTCTAAGTACACAACTATTTGGTCTTATTAATTTAAGTGTTTTGACTTTTGCCAAATGTGCACAATGGCTGAAAACACATTAGAAGATAGGAAATTGATTTTTCAGTAATAAGTATTTTAACAGTTGGGTATGTACTAACACTGGTGAGCCAGCCCTAGTGAGAAATAAACAGGGTTGAAGGCTGCAGGTCGAGCAGAACCTCTGAGGAAGGAGAAGGTGGTTGACTGACAGTAGTCTGACTTTAGAAGCACGTGACTACAGGGCCGAGGTTTCAGCTACGACGTGAGCTGAAATGTAGGCGCTGTAGAATATCAGGGATCTGTCATTGCTACATAAATTAGTTAATCGTACTGGTAAGTTTCTAAAAAGGATGACGTTACATGAATTTTAGTCCAAGTGCAGCAGAGAACCAGGTTGGAAGAAAAATCTTGGTGTCAAGTTAAAGGAGCAGTGTGGTTGTGGAAACAGACCCAGAGTAAGAAAATCATTTTATTCTTTCTTGAAAAATTTCTCCACACATCTTCAAAATAGATCTTAGTTTAACCTTAGAAAGAACACATAAATATATTGTGCTCTGGGGTTGAGAGGGGCTGTACGCCATCATAGCATCTCTAGCTCCCCATGTGCGGTTTTTGTAGCAGCGGGGACCAGTGTGTGAGCTGAGGTGAATGGTGGCAGATGGAGGTGGGTAGGGGTGGGTTCGCTCCAAGGACGTGGTCCCGGAGGCTCCAGGCACGCGCTCCAGGGCCCCTTGCAACGGCTTTGCAACTGCCCCGGCGTTCCAGGAGGCGCCATGCTGGGCACCACGCTGTGCCCACTGCTGTTGGCCATGCTTGGGAGCATGCTGGCATCAGGACCTGGTGAGCGCTCCATGGGGCCGGCACTCTGAGTTTGGGGGGCGCTTCTCTTGCAGGTCTGTCATGCACATCATAAAGCTCAAGAAGTGTATCCCCCCAAAAGCTCTCCGCTTCTGGAACCCCACTTAAACTCCGAAAACCACCTTCCACAGATGATGTGCATGCCAGAAGAACTGATCTGGAAATGCGAACCAAAAGCCAATGAGCAACCCCCTCCCCCCCCCCCCCCCCCCCCAGCTCGGAGAGATCTGTGGAGGTGCATAGGAGAGAGGGGCAGGGGCAGAATCCTGCCTGAGTTTGGGCATGAAGTAGGTTGGCTTAAATGCTCACAGCAACTTGACAGGTTGTGATGATCAAGTGCTTGCCTCTAGCTCTGAGGTGTTGCCAGTTGTCCTATAGAACTTGTGGAATGCGTCTTTTGCTTCCATGTCATGTATTCCTCACAGTTTTGGAGAGCAGAATGGTGAGGGCAGGCTGCCAGCACTGTCATATTCTGATGTGTGCCATTTCCTGTCTATATTAGAAATTGAAATACAGGTGTAAGAATGTATCGTAACATTGAAAACAACAGGACCATACCTTTTACATGTTAACACACTTCAAAACTAAAAACTGTCTTGGAAAAACAAAACTTAAAAACTGATCTCCTGGGAAATAATACAAAATTGGAATAGCTTTGCTTTTCTGTAGATCTTAACACCTGCTTCGATAGAAGACACCTAGATTGAATTCCTGCTGCTTCCAGTCTCTGCTGCTTGTTTGACTTGAAGTACAGAAAGGACTTTTGTAGCCATTTCAGATAGCCACAGGATCTCAGCATGCTACACCAAACCTGGGCCAATAGAAAAAGAATAGGTACAATACAGAATCTAAAAATGTATCAGCAAGCTTTACTGTGCTTTTTATTTTTTAAATTAAAATTTATCACCAACTCCCTTCCCTTTCCTCCCTCTAATCCACCCAACCCCCCAAACTACCTTGCCTCCTTTTATTAAACTGAAATACATATATCTATATGGACTGCAAACTTTTCTTCATGAAATTCAGTGGAATATCAATATTGAATTTTGATTTTTATGCATATGTATTTTAATGCATTATCTTTAATTTTTAAAACTGTGGGAAATATAAAAAATTACCAACAGCTTTTAAAATATTTTTTTTAAATGTAAACTTTACATGCATGGGTATTTTGCCTGCATGCAAGTCTGCTTACCACTTCTGGGCCTGGTGTCCTTGGAGGTCAGGAGAGGGTGAATTTGAGAGCATTCCCTGGAGCTGGAGTTAGAAACAGTTGTGTGCTGCCATGTGGTTGCTGGGCATCCAACCCAGGTTCTCTGGAAGAACTGTCAGTGCTCTTAATCTCTGAGCCACCTCTCCAGCTTCTCAGTTTTTTGTTTTGTTTTTTTAAAAGAAAAATCATTAAATGTCATTTTTTTTTAGGGCAGTTTCAGAATCACAGCGAAAGAGAGCAGAAAATAGTGTTTGGATATAGCCCCTGCTCTGTGTCCTCCCACAGGGGTCAACATGTGGTGTTACAGGGCTGCATTTGTTCCAGCCGATGAACCTGCCTGCACTCGGGTTCTGTATGTTCCGTGTTTTGCTCACAGAGGCCCATCACAGCAGTATCATGGAAAGTAGCTTCACTGGCCTGACAATCCTTCATGCTGTTGTGACTTAAGAAAAGCAGCTTGCAAGAGAGAGATGCCATGCAGCAGTGTTCAAGTAGAAGTTTTTTTGTTTTGTTTTTTAAATTAGGGAAAGGGATCATAAAAAAGGGGAGGGGAAGACCGGCCTCTGGGGATAGGAGAAGCAAGAGAGAGGAAGAAGGGGCAGAGAGGGGAAGGACAGACAGAGAGAGGGAGAGAAAAAGAAAGACAGGAGGTGGGCAGGGCCCTTTTTAAAGGGAACATAGTGAATGCGCACAGGTGGTGCTCTTAGTGACTGCAGCTGAGGGCATATCCTGTCAGAACCACAAGTGGCACTATTCACAGTGGGCTTGGCACACTGATGCCAATTGTTAATCAAGAAAATGGTCCACAGACTTGTCTAGGGGGGTCAATCTTTATTTTACTTAAAATTTTTATTCATTTTACATACCAACCACGGTTCCCCCTCCCTCCCTTCCGGCTTTCCCACCATCTCCTCCCAACCCATCTTCATCCACTCCTCAGAAAGGGTAAGGCCTCCCAAGGGGGAGTCAACAAAGCCTGGCACATTAAATTGAGGTAGGACCAAGCCCCTCCCTACTGCATCAAGGCCGAGCAAGGCATCCCACCATAGAGAATGGGCTCTGAAAAGCTAGCTCATGCACCAGGGATAGATCCTGGTCCCACTGCCAGGGGCCCCTTAAACAGACCAAGCTACACATATGTTGCCCACATGTTGGGGGCCTAGTTAGGTACCATGCAGGCTCACCAGCTGTCAATCTAGATAGAGTACAGGAGCTCCCATGGGCTCAGATCAGCTGTCCCTGTGGGTTTCCTGTCAGTGTCTTGATCCCTAGGGCTCAATCTTAAGGCTCATTTTCTCACTGGATCTTCACATTTCCCAGATGTGTCAAGTTGACAATAACCTAACCAGAACAATGATGCGTGATGTTCTCCTACTATTATTCACATTTGATTTTTGATTTTAAAAGCTCAACAATGTCATTAGACTATGGCTAGCCTTTGATTCATTCGTAAGCATTATTCTCAACAGGCTATGCACTTTTTAGTCTATTGTTTTAGAATCTTTTATGTCAGCCAGGTTTTCTTGAGTTATATCTTTGATTAGTTTATTTTCGTCTGTGTCTTGTGAGCATGTTCTGAGTTCTTGTGTCTTTGATGACCATTTTGTCTGTTTTCCAAATTAAATGTTTTCAGTGTTTTGTTTTAAATATGGAACACTTTATGAGTTAATCTATCAAGTTTGCACAGGGGCCACTAATGTTCTCTAATTCCAGTTTTAGTGCTTGTACTCATGAGGAAGACACAGTGATGAGCCATTCACATTGGCTAATTAAACCTTATGAAAGAAACTGAACATTGAGTCAAATTAAAGGCACGCTTACTGTTTTTTTCTCTCTGCAGATTCTCAAAGTTCATCTGTACAAATCATATTTCCAGAGAAATTTGAAGAGAATAAAAGCTCAGAAGTAAGAAACATCAATTCAATGTATAAATTATTACATAAATTTTTATTTGTATCCCATAACTATGGGACACACAAATTGTATGATGTTATTATATATGTATCTAATATTACTACTGATAAGTATTGTAAAGTCTTTATGGTAAAAGAAAACATAAAATTTAGAATGGTCTGCTTAGAAAAATCATTTTTTAATTCTTCATGTTCTTTTTAGCAGCTCACATATACAAAATAACAAAAAAGTTAAGTGTTTCATTTGACATTAAGGAGGTGTCTGGAGATCCAGGAGGAAAATAATATTCTCCCAAATAGCTGATTTGGTCATACTTTCTTAACAAAAACCTTTTCCCTATGCCTCATTATTGTACCCATAGTTCTGAAAGTAGAATTTTTATACTAATGGTTTAGAAAGCAAAATCATTTCTTTTATTCACTGATTTTTAGAGTTGGTATTTTGCTATGCTAAGTGTCTTTAGGAGTTTTAAATCAACACTTTCATTATACCACCTTCTAGGTAACAAATCTCTGAGTGTCTGAGTGTGTGTATGTGGGTGTGTGCATGTGTGCACAAAGGTGTGTGTGCTTGGAGTCTAGAGGCTGATCTCTGGCATTGCTCCTTGGGAACTGTCCACCTTGTTTGGTGAGACAGGCGCCCCCATCCCCTTCAATCTGGAGCTGACCGGTGAGCCCTAGAGAGCCTGTCCTGTCCTCACTTTTCCAGCATTGGTATCCTAAGCGTGTGCCAAGCACAACTGTCTTTTTAAAATGTGTGTTCAGGGGGTCAACTCACACCTTGCAAGGTATACATTTCACTGGCTGAGGCGTCTCTCCACGAGGTGATTAAAAAATCTTTTAGTTAGCAATTTGATTGCACAAGGTTATCCATTTCCACTCCTGTCTCTTTCCCTTCCCACTATTTTGCTGCTTCTTCCAACCAGTCCCCCTCTACTTCCATATCATATAGGTGATCTAGGCTCCACATAGGAGGGCAACATGTGTGTGATTACACTGAAGTGTGCTAAAGCACAGTTTTCATGCTGCAGAAACCAGCCATGATAATGGGCTCCTTGTTCTCATGTATGCAGCTTGCAAACATAGCACATTCTGTTGTGGAATGTTTCTCTAGTCCTGAATAGTTCCCCCTTGTCCAGTTAGGGTTCACCTCTCTTTCTGTCCCCAGACCTCAGCAACCATTGATGATCACACTTATTTTAATTAGATTTATTTGTTTGTAAGTTATCAGGTCATTGCTTTCTTAAAATTAACTTGGAGTCCCATACTTATTTATCCATTAGCCAGTTGCTAGACATTTTTGGCTCATTTTCATACATTGGCTTTTGTGAGAAATTGTTTATGAATATTCATGTGTGCACAGGTATTTTCCTTTCTTTTGGTTAGACTCTTAGCAGTAAAATAGATATTCAGAAGCTACCATGTAGTTTTTCCGAAGCATCTGTGACCACATCAATTTATATTCACATGAGTAATATTTGAGCATTCCAGTTTTTCCACGTGACAATGAGTATTTGATGTGGCCATGGGGTGTGGGGAGGAACTGCTATGGCTTTCACTCATACTGTCCTCTGAATGTGTGGCATCTTCCAGGGTCCATTAGCTATTGATTCACCTTTCATACAAACGTCGATTCAAATCATTCATCCACTTTAAGTCTGGATGTATTTACTTTTGAATCCCTAGCTGTCATTGTATATTCTTCTTCAGTTCTTTGTCCATGTATGAGTTGTAATGTTCTTGTCCCAATTTATAGCTTGCTTTTTTATTTTTTTCAAAATATTTGAATAACAAACACAGTTCTGATGGTGTGCAGTTTGTCCCATTTCCCTTTACGGGTCTCATGTTTGGTTTTGTATCTAGGAACTTTGTTAAGGACTGAATTGCACTCCCTCAAACTTCATATGTGGGATCTTCATCCGTTGCTGTGACTCTATCTGGAGACCATGCCTTCAGGGATGTATGCTGCATGAGGTCATAAGATAAAGATGTCAGTCCAAGTCTTCATGCGTGTCTATCTTAGCTTGCTGTCTTTTGCCCCAAAAGCTCCTGGAAGAAAAGCTTTATTTACATGTTATCGGTCCCACTTTGTCCTGTGTAGGGAAGCCAGGGAAGGGGCTCGGGGCAGGAGCCCAAAGGCAGGAAGTGAAGCAGAACCACGAAGAGTGCTGCTTTCCAGATTGCTTTTCACAGTTTAATTGGCCTGCTTTTTTTTTTTTTTTTTGGTTTTTGTTTTCGTCTAAGAGATGAATTTGCTATGTAGCTCTGGCTGGAACTTGTTATATAGACCAGGTTGGCATCAAACTCCTGGTGACTCAACCAACTCTGCCTCTTGAGTGCTGAGATTAAAGGCATTTGCCTGCTTTCCTATACAGTGCAAGAACACCGGAGTGGAGTTGGCACTACCCATAGTGACCTGGCCCCTCCCACATTAATCATTAATCAAGAAAATGCCTCTCAGACTTGACTTGCCTACAGGTTAACCTGATGGAGATATTTCCTCCACTGAGGTTGCATCTTCCCAGATGACACTAACTTGTGTCAAGTGAACAAAACAACAACAAAGCCAAACTTAACCATCACAGATTCTAAGGGGAGACAGAGACTACATTGGAGCAATATATGCAAAGCAAGAGTCATAGGACAGAAGGCAGAAGGAAATACCCCAGAAGACCCTGCTGCCTCCTGCTGGGTTTTCCAGCCTCCCCAACTAGGAGGAAATGGCTTTCTCTTATGGAAGCTGCCTTGGCAGTGGTTATCTTCTTTCAGTATTTACTGTTTTAGGCCTACAGAAGAGGCTAATACAACTTTTAGGGCAAGTACAATGTGGTACTGTCATAATCAGCTGTTAACAGGACACTCTGGGACAGTGGTTCTTAACCTGTTGGGTCATTTGAGGATGACCAACCTTGTGACTCGGTCACCTAAGACCATCAGAAAACACAGATACTTACATTACGATTCATAACAGTAGCAGAATTACAGTTATGAAGCAGTAACAAAAATAATTTTATGGCTGGCAGTTACTACAGCATGAGGAACTGTGTTAAAGTGTCACAGCATTAGGAAAGTCTGGTTTTAGTCTCTGCTGTTGATAGACTTTATTTCATCTTCAATTTCATTACTCATCATTATCTGTTTAGATATATATTTAAATTTTTTTAATAATTTATTTTTATTGTGCTGGAGAGATGGCTCAGAAGTTAAGAGCATTGCCTGCTCTTCCAGAGGTTCTGAGTTCAATTCCCAACAACCACATGGTGGCTCACAGCCATCTATAATGAGATCTGGTGCCCTCTTCTGGCCTGCAGAGATACATGCAAGCAGAATACTGTATACATAATAAATAATTAAATCTTAAAAAAAGAACCTGTTTAAAAAAATAATTTATGTTTGTTTTACATGCATTGGTGTTTTGCCTGTGTGTGTGTCTGAAGTTACAACCAGTTTTGAACTGCCATGTGGGTGCTGGGAATTGAACCTGGGTCCTCTGGAAGAGCAGCCAGTGCTCTTAGCTGATGAGCCATCTCTCTAACCCGTTTAGATAAATTCTTTTGGTTCAATGTTGGTAGGTCACATATGTCTATAAATTTATTAATTTCTAGAAATGTATTGAAATATATTCAAATATTTCCTACTGGTCTTTTGGATTTCAGAAGTGTCTATGGTAATATCTTCACTTTTAATTTCTAATTTTATTATTTGTTAACTTCCCTCTGTTTTGTTTAATTTGAAGGGTTTGTCAGTCTTTATTTTTGTGAAGAATCTACTTTGTTTTAATAACTTATTGATTGAATTGTTCATTACTCTTCACATTATTAATTTTAGCTCTGATATTATTTTATCAACCAATACGACAAGCATATAAACAGAAGGACATCCCCTATCAAGGCAGTGTGGAATGATTTTATGAATTGTTTGAAACATGCTTGGAGGGGTTGGTTTGACTCTGAGTTGCTGTTTGTGTTATTTTGTTTAAAAAGAAGAAAAGAGAAATTCTGAGACATGAGACATAAGACGATAAGTTTATTATAAGCCCCGCAGAATGGGGAGACTAAGAAGAGGAACAGGGTAAATGGCTGACCGCCATGGCCGGTCGCCATAGAGAGACAGAGCGGGGAAACAGAGAGACGGGAGAGCACACACACAGAGAGAGCGTAAAGGGGCAGGGGCCTATCTTTTAAAGGGGTCCTCTGCACCTTCGTGCAGACTTCTTTCCCATGGAACCTTGGGCTGACCAGGGTATTGCCTGAGTGGATTCCACCAGGTAACAGGGGCAGGCCAGCATAATGCCTGAACCTTTCAGTTTGCTTCTTATCGAACTCTCTGTCCTCACTCTGTTTTTCTTGACTCTCTAGGAAAAGATATCCTACATTATTCCAATAAACCAGAAGCCATACATTGTGTACCTCCAGAAAAGGTAAGGTTTCTTTAGCCTGGTATTTCATTTTATTTCTTTGACACTGTTTACTTGTAGCAGCAGTGGAGTATAAGAGCAATAACAGAGCTCTCATTGAAATTGTCAGTTGTCTCTAATGAACAGATACTCTTTGTAATAATTAAATTGTCCCCAATAATTCAAGTGATCTTTGTGAATGAGGTTTAGGAACCAAGAAAAATAGAGACTTGATTCTTGAAGACCAGTCTATACACATTTAGGTTGGTAGAACTAGAAGGACCAATCAGAGTAGAGGGCTGGAGTGGACAGACCTTGGTCAGAGGCATGGATTCCCTGCGGTGAGGCTGGTTGTGAACTGCCTAGGGGATAGCCCAGGGGAAATGCTCAGGTGGCAGTTAATTCAACAGTAGAATATGGGAGAAAGCAATTGGATTTTGCTATCATTTCATGTTTTAAAAACTCTCAACAAATTAAGTATAGAAAGGATGTATGACAATATAATAAAGTCAAAATACAATAAACCCAAAGCCAACCCCATACTCAATGGTGAAAACTGGAAGGATTTCTCCTAAGATCAAGAATATGGCCACCTCACCACTTCTACTCAGCATAGTGCTGAAAGTGCCAGCTAGAAGAGTTCAGCAAAAGAAAGGAAAACACTTGAACTGGGATGATGTCACATTGTTTCTGTAGGTAAAGGACATTATCTATCTATCTGTCTGTCTGTCTATCTATCTATCTATCTATCTATCTATCTATCCCTCCCTCTCATTTCTATCTCTGTCTCTATCATCTTTCTATCCCCCCTCTCCCATCCCTCTAGCTCTTCTATCCTTTCTATCTCCTCTCTTCCCAGTTTCTAGTCCCCTCCCCCCCATAGAGGATCCACAAAACAACAACAAAATACAACCCCTGTCATTTCCAATAAATAAATTCACAAAATCAGAAGCCAATTCTACACACTAACAATGGGCTATCTGAAAAGAAATAAGCAGTTCCTGTTTATGGTATCAAAATTCTAGACCAGCTGTGGAGAGAGAGGCAGGTTCAAGGACATCAGGTAAAGGAGAACAAGGAATTCAGAGTCACCCTCAGCTACTTAGTGAGTTCAGAGCTGAAACAGCAACAAACTCACAAACCAAAGCAAACATGCCACTAAACCAAAACCATGACAAACAAAACAAAACAATAAACCCAAAGACAGTAACAACAAACTCAAAGCAGTATAAAAGAAAGTAAAATACAAGTGGTATTTTCTGTAGGAAATTTTCTAAGATCTATGCGACTGTAAAATAGCAAGGGCAATTTGGAATAAAAATGAACAAAGCTAGAGGAACCATACTACTAGACACCAAAGTATACTAAAGGTGTACTACTCAAAATTGTGGGTTTTTTTTTAAGATTTTTTTTTAATTTTATGTATATGAATATTTGCCTGCATGTATGTGTGTGTATCATGTATGTACTTTGTTATGGTGGAGGCCAGAAAAGACTGTATGGTCCCCTGAAACTGGAGTTACAGATGGTTGTGAGCTGTCATTGTGGGGGTTGGGAACTGAACCTGGGTGCTCTGGAAGTGTTCTTAACCTCTGGTGGAGTCATCTCCATAGTGCCTAAGGTATTTTTTTTTAATATTGTTATTGCCATCACTGAAATTGAAAAAAAAAATGCTTAATAGAGGTGTGAATGAATTTTCAATGTGAGAAGGGAAACCGGTATAACTGGATGCCATGGAAGCATGTGAGGGAGATGGGCGACACTGAGATGTGGGAATGTGTATACACACAGAGACAGGAACAAAGCAGGAGGGAAGGTGAGCTCACCCACACCAACACAGAGATGGCACTTAGCAAGTCAGCAAGGGTGGAGTGGTTGAAGCATGGCAGAGTGGTTTTCCCTAACATCTGCCTACCACTCAGACCTGACAGCTAGAGTATGTGGGAGACACCATTACTTAGTCTTTGTGAGACTCAGTGGAGAACTGACAGTAGACTGTGTGCTCACCGAAGCCTGAGGCAGAATGAGGGGAAGAAGTAAAACCAAAACAACACAGTATGTGCAGAGTATGGCACCACAGGAAGTTTGAGCTTAGACCTGAGTTTCAGTGCACATGCTAAGGATAATAGGACTTCATTTTCTTTCATTACATTATCCATGATATATATTAGGGTATATATTGTATATGAATTTCATATACAATATGCATTATATTTATATATTACATGCTATATAATCACCTGTTATCTAATATATAATAAAATCATATATAATACAATAACATATCATTAAAATACATAATTATATTATATTATATGCAATTATAAACTGTAATATATCATATCATAAAATAATAACATAATTATATATAGTATGCAATATAAATACAAAACTAATATATACAATCAATATTGCATATATTAACATGCAATATTAATATATGATTGATATATACAATTGATGTACAATAGTAATATATACTATATCATACTATATATATTAGAATAAAGGAGCAGAAAATTCTCACAACCCTCCATCCAGTTTATATCTCTGTAAATAAAACAAAATGACTACTCCTCTTGCAGCTCCTTCCCTTTATTAAAAGTATCCTAATGGGCTGGAGAGATGGCTCAGTGGTTAAGAGTGCTTACTGCCCTTTCAAAGGACCTGGGCTTGGTTCGCAGCACTCCAATGGCTCATAGCCACCTGTAACTCGAGCTTTAGGAGACAGGATGCAGTCTGTCTCCTATGGGCGCCTACATATAGTGTGGTGCATAAATCCATGCAGGCACATAAATCCACATAAAAAAAGTAAATCTTTTTGAAAAAAATAAAAGGAACCCATTAAGTTGGAGAAATTATTTCTAGTAAATGTGTATTACTATGCATAACGTGTCTTGTACAGCAAAGGAACTATGCCAAAGGTTGCCTTTTCCTCTAAAGCTCCGTAGAGCAAGTCTTAGTTTTAAGGCTCCCATTTCTGCCCAAGTTCCTTACCTCTGCTGTTGTAGCCGGCGTGTCCCCCCGCGCATGTGCAGGTTAATGGATGAGGTCAAGTTCCAATAAAGCTTTATTTACAGAAACACCGGGTGTTGCAGAGTTGACTGATGGCTGTTCTGTTGTTTCTAAAAGAGTAACCAGGAATTCTCTTTTCTTTACGTAGTTATTTTTTAGCAGACCGTTTTATGGTTTATTCGTATAACAAAGGATCTGTGAGTTCTCATTCTGCAGACGTCCCGGTAAGATTTAAGATATTTTATAAAATTTTCAGAAAACTTGAAAATAATTGAGGGGTTTCCCAATGCACAAGACTCTCAGGGTCTGTAGGTGATATACTTAGGGTACTTACTACTTTTTTCTACATGCTCCCTGATGTCGCGGTGGAGTTGTTAGTTGACTAAGGGCTTTTCAGGGGGACTACCTATATAGACTATTGCTTCACCCATACTTTCTGAGAGAGTGAATATAAATGAAAGTAAAATAAGCAGATTAAGAACATGGGTGCACAGAAGCATGGACAAAGCATTGCCCCCACTGCATACATACATCATCAGTCCTACTGTGTGCTACATGTGTTGTAGACCTTGTTCGGATCTGAGGAGTTTGAATGCTTGATTTATTGAATGCTTGAGTAAGACACTTCTCTAAAATATTTTAATATGCTTGCGTATTTTCTGTTTTTCACCATCTCTTCACTTTGGGGCTTTCTGTTTCTGGAAGCGTGTTGTCTAGTGAATGTGCGTGGAGCACTGTATCTTTTTGTCCTCGCTGCACCCCTTCTCTGGCGCTGCTTCTGTTCTTGCAGGTGACACGCTTTACATTAGCATGGCTTCAGAGCGCTTTCCTGGCACACTGGCCCTTCAAGCCTCCGGAGTCTTAGTTTCTCACATCCTTTTTTAGGTAGCACGTTTACAATTTTAAAGATTCTCGGGGCTTTTAGTTGATGTTAAATCTATACATTGGAAAAAAAGAACACATGGAGACCTTTTGAGTATCACTTTATGCATACCATTGTAAATCATGTATGTGTGAGCGGCCTTTACCCACTGCTGGCTATTTTCAGAGCAGGAAATTATTTGAAAGTTTTGTCAGTTCTTCAGTAACCAGTTTCCTGTTTTTCATCCCTAGAGTCAATGCTACTATCAAGGACACATCAAAGGCTATCCGAACTCTGTCGTCACACTGAGCACGTGCTCTGGACTCAGGTTAGTCATTTTCTACCACTCTGACTACGGTATTTGGCTGGGGCGAATGCAGTCCCCTCTCTTCCCGTGTAGCTGGGCCAGATTTGTCACAAGCTCATTGGTGCTGTCTGGCTCCAGATGTGGTCCCAGTGGTCTGGGATTCCTCTCCCTTACTTTGCAGACCAGAGATAATTCTAACATCTGGAGGGTTTAGACTTCCCAATATCCTTGCTATACTCTTACCTTTTTTCTTTCTTTCTTTCTTTCTTTCTTTCTTTCTTTCTTTCTTTCTTTCTTTCTTTCTTTCTTTCTTTCTTCTTCT